CATGCTCGAAATCCCAGTAGTGGCACAACATCACGATCCACAAGGAAGAATGGTAGTGTGTGTAGCTGTCCATCTAGTGATAGGGGAAGTATGGCAAAACCAGCTGTTTCGATCTTGCTGCCCCCGAAGGCCACTAGGTTTGCAGTTTTATTGCATTCCAAAATTTGTCCCTCAGACAGCTGGAGAAATGTGCTTTTTGCCATTACATTACATTTAGCTCCAGTGTCGATTTTCATTTCAATAGGCTTGTCTCTTATGTGTAGAGTGACAAATCCTTCATCCCGGTTGCCTCTATGGGTGTTTATATCGTCCACAACCACAACGGGCTCGACACCATCCACATAGAATGTGTCATCACTGTTGCTGTCAGGCTGCTGTAACTCTAGCTGATGTACAGGTTGTTTGTTGTGGTATTTACCCACAAAGCATTTCTTTTTGGGATTTTCATTTAGAGGCTTTGATTTGCAGCATTTCTTGTAATGGTTCCATTTTTGACATTTGTGGCACTGCTGGCCAAATGCAGGACATTTGTCTCTCTGTGCAGCGTGATTTCCTCCACAATTGTTGCAGTTTTTTTTTTTTTTTTTTTTTCAATTGTTGCAGTTTGTGATGAGTTTCATATCATGCCTGCTCGCAGGTTTATAATTTGTCCTGGGACGCCCTCTGGAGGAGCTTGGCTGCAGTGCATCCACCGCCGTGGCTGGCTGCTTTGTCAGAGCTCTTGTGTTCTCCTCGGTCATTTCATAAATGCGGCAGATAGAAATGGCTTTGGAAAGGGTTAAGTCACAGTCACGTAAAAGAGCCTTCCTTATGCCGTCATTATTTATGCCACAAACAATCCTGTCGCAGATTAACTCATCTGTTAAATCCCCAAAGTGACAACTTTTGGCTTTAATTCTCAAATCACTGATGAAGGACTCAATAGTCTCACCTTGTTTCTGATTTCGGGAATGAAACTTGTGTCTCTCCATTATTTTGTTGTATTGTGGGTTACACATTTCCCGAAATTTCTTTTTTAGACAGTCTGGGTCCTCTTTGGACTCTGCTGGATGAATGACTGCACCGGCCTGCCCGTCTCCTGTGGGTGGCGCCCTAATTTCTGCGGCGTAGATGAAGGAGCGTTCTCTTTCAATAGCTTCTGTTCCTGCTAGATTGAGGAGGATATAAGCTTTCGTTTTGTCAGGTTTGTCCGAGTGGGCTGCCTCAATAAAGATGTCGTATTCCCTTTCAAAAACACGCCAATTCTCGGCGATGTCCCCGTCAAAGACAAGCGGGTCTGGTCTGCGAAAACCCTCCGCCATTTTTTCTCTTGCTAGTCCGTTAGCCACTTGTATTCCTCTTCTGTTCAAACGAAGAAAAAAATGACGCTGGCTGGCGATAGATCCGTGACGTCTTCTGACACCATGTGGAAATGAGTTATGAGACCAGGATTTGTTTATGGGAGCTTTTACTGGTTACTCTCAGCAACTTACACAGCCATGTTAACCGGGTAGCTCGAACGCGTGGTACATACGAACACCTCCTACGTCACAACTACGGTGTCTGTTAAAGTCCATCTGCAGCATAACTCAATCATTGGACCAACTGATCTACAACAAGTGACACCTGAACACAACGGTTCCTTCAGAATAAAAGCTGAACCTCACGACCACTTCAGGGTCTCGGAGACGCCAGTGATAACCTGTCGTGACCTGGAAGCATTCCAAGACTAGTTTGGTCAGCACCGCTGCTTTTCTACCGGCTTCGGTACCAAGGAGGGTCCACGAGGACCTCGGCATTCTGGATCTAACAGAGGCTTCCCCTGGGGTACGTAGACCGACAGATGGCGTTTCACGTGTGTTATAAATCTCCTACTAAAGTTTAGAGTGAAACATTCACTGCCACTCAGAACTAACTGCTTCTCCGGATCCGCTGGTTCTGAATAACATCCCACACACACACCATCATCATTCATCACCTCTCACACTACCTTAGTTTCATCAGTACACAGTGTGTTTAAGTTAGTCTTGTTTAAATTTTGTAGAACTAAATTTCTTAACTATTTTAAACCTGACTCTCTCTCTTTTTCCTCGGAGTTAATACGAAGTGTCGCTTAATCCCTGCAATAAAAAGTTCTGATCTTCTGGTAAAAATATTCAAAGATCCATCAGATTGATATTTCATATTTCTATGGAATCTCACATTTTATGGTTCATACGTAAGATGTAAACGACCTATTCTTTACACCCACATACCCTGTCTAAGGGATTTAAATGTATTATTTAGGTCAACTGGGTCCAAACATTTCAATCGTCCAGCTTTGAGATTAGAGTAAGAATTTCTTTAGCATAAAAATAAAGCCGGGTTGTGGGGGGAAACGTCCAAATCCAAAGGGGTGAGCCTGGAAACAGAGTGGTAATAGTAATGGTATAATGGAGGTTGAATAAGAAGAGCTTATGAGTCCGAGAGCTCCGTGGTGTGTCCAGGTCTTTTAAAGTTGGGTGGCCCGGGTTGGGCACTTGTTTATGCATGCGTGCCACCTATGGTTATGAAATGATCTGTGAGCCTGGCTAGAAACCAGTGGTGTATGCTACCTTTTGTGGACATTTAAAGTCAGTTTAAACTAAACTCAGTGGGGGTGGCACCTGGGGTGGCCAATCAGATTCAAAGTGTGGCATGTAGTACCCCTGGCCACTCTCTGGACACGCCCCTACGAGAACGGAGTTGGGTCCCGATGGGGAAGAGAAGGTCTGGTAAAAGTTAGTGGCACGGAGAGAGGGTATCCAGGAGGTAGAGGCAGCTGTAGGTGGACAGGTGGGTGACTGAGGAGCTCAGAGCAGGACGAGGTGATTGGAGGATTCTGGATCTTTATGATGATGAAGAGAGATGATATGAAACCTGACAGGAATACACAAGAGAGGTTATAATTCTAAGTTGGAAGCACATTCACTAGTGTTGAAACACAAGAGGCTTGGCTAGAAGCTACCCAACGTGAGTAATCATGTCCCACAGCTCCATAAATCTCTGAGGGAAGATCAGCAACAGCTGTGCCCGTTGCTCAGGAGACGCCCACCTGCAGAGGGCAACAGCCACTCACCCAATACCACAACAGAAATGTGCTTATGTGTAAAAAGGCTTTGGTGGATTTTAATTCAGCTGCATCATTTAGCAAAATGTCAATAACAGGTCTTCCTAAACTGTCCTCGGGGAGCTATGGGTGTAGGGAGAGCTGATGTGTGCTCCAGAAATCTGATGCCAAAAGCTGGAATCAGGGTTGAAAAGTGAGATGAAAGGGTGAGAGAGGTTCTTGCTCCTGAAGAGGGCAGCAGACTGCTCTTTTCTCTTTTCTAAACTAAACCATCCAGAGACCAACAGGCAAATCTACTGATGAATGAACACAACGGGGAGCAGGGGGAGCCCTCTTTGAGCTTCTGACACTTCCTGGTGGGATGACAGAGTGCCCACTTCTCTGCTCCACGCATTAATTATCAGGCCGCGTCTGGAAGGCACTTTGTCAAAAAGATGGATGAGGATCTGTCAGCGAGGGAACAAATCTGACTTGGCTGGGGTTAGAAGAAGGGCCTCTCGTTTTCACAGGATGTAAAGGTTGGCGCTGAAAGGATCCCAACGTAGGGACGTGTTTTTTTAGGCATTTGCAAAGCTAGGATAAACAGGCTTAGAAAGGAGCATCATTGTTCTGTCTTTAATATGTAAATACATTTTAGCTGCTTTAGTTTTTATGTGGAAGAAGCCGAGGAGCAAAAGTGACGGTCCTTAATTTATATATTTAAAAACAGTTTCAATCATCCTGAGGCTGTAGGGTCCAGCTGAGCCACAGCTCTCACGAAGACCACTTCTTGGGGAGATGCCCTTTTGATTCTGCAGCCTCAAGTGAGCCTCTCAACAATAAACTCGGTAGAAAGAACCAGAACAGCTTCAGGGTGCAAAATGACTTCTCAAATTTACAAGTGGCTTTCAGTGGGAACGTTAATGTCTTACCTGCAGTTGGCTCTCTAATTTAAGCTCACTGATTTCCCTCTTTCACATTCATTTTCTCTCTCCCTTTCCTTACATTTTTATCACAATTTTTTAATCATTTTAATTATACTTTTAAATCTTTTTATATAATTTTTTTGTTTTTGTGAAGCACCTCGTGATTTTTATCTTGAGAGGCACCATATAAGAGATTTTCTTTCTTCTCTCTGAACAACCTCACTTTGGAGAAATAGTTCAGTTACAGTTAATTAAGTGGATTTCTGGTCTTATACCAACTATAATCTCTAAAATGTAAAGAAAACATCAGTTATTTGTGGTATTTCCATTGAAAGCTACACTAAAATATTCTAACCATCACTAAAAACAAACAAACATTCCAACCAAAGAGAAAAATCTGGGTTTTCTAGTGTTGGGTTTTGAGATCTGTTAACATTATGTTCCTCTGCTTTTATCAGAGGACAAGAAAAACCACAGACGACGCTCCACACCGCTCTGAACAGATTTAAAATAAAAATGCAGCAAAGTGTTGAATCTTCTTTTTGCTACAGACACTTTCAGACTTCTTAAGCTTCAGATAAAATCAAATTCAGGCATTTTTATTTTATAATAATGCTAAAATGATTATTTCACTTTAATGTCTGTTGTAATAATGACAGTGGAAGGTAACAAAGGTTAACTTAACATGAAACATTTTTATACGTTTTGTCTATTTTGTTTTAATTGTTAAGCCCAGTGCACATTTCAGTCAGATAGAAGGACTAAAGTAGGCTCTAACAGTAAGACAGTTTAACAAAGGAATGATTTTTAGGAAAAGAAAAGCATCTTTTTTTAATCTCTCTCCAGCTCCCAACAGGAAAATGCACAGAAAAACACATTTAGCTCCTCTAATGAAGCGAAAAAGCTGAACTTTCACAATAACTCCTATGGAGAGAATTGATTATAGAGAAAATATAAGTTTGTCTCACAGCAGTGTGTGTGTGTGTGCTTTGAGAGGAAGCAGAGAGGTGGTGGAGGGGGTTTGGTCTGTTGTGCTGGATCATTACACACGGGGAAAAGCGGAGAGAGCAGGGATGGACGGGCAGATGGGGAGAAACAGCCCAAGGAAAGGCAGCCGGGGAGACCGAAGACAGGAGACACAATAAAAAAAACTCCCAAGAGAAATGTCTGATTTTACAGGCAACTGGAAAATGAAAAGCAGCGAGAATTTCGATGAGCTGCTCAAAGCTTTGGGTAAGAAGAACACTTACTTTTTTCCTCTCGTGTTGTTTTACTGTGGCGGTTCCCTAAAGATGAACATTAAATTTAGACGGACGTCAGATCTTTCTTCCTTTTGCAGTTCAGTAGAAAGAGGTCAGGATTAAATTGTAGGACATCATGCAGAGTTTACTAGTTTAATTTTGCACAATTCACATGAAATAAGTGTTTAGGCAACCCGCGAGGGCTTCTAACAAACCTCTTCTGGATGTTAAGAAGTCATGCAAATCAGAACATTAAAATGATCAAATTAAGACAAAACAATTCAGGGTAAAAAAAAAAACTTCAATTATAATTGGCTCCACAGATACTTTCTATTTTTATACAATCAGAAAATGATGCAAATGACAGAACTATTTGATTTTTATTAAAGTAGAGAAGGGAGGCGCAGGTAGCTGTAAACTGAAGTTTCTGCAGCACAGATGCACTTTTTCTGAACTATTCCTGGTTTTTATTGCAGACAAACTAAACAAAGACAAAAACATCAATGAGTGTTAGCAGACCAGAGTTCTCTCACATCCAGTAGTTTCCATGGTAACTAAACTGACACAAAGTTTATAGTTCTTCCTTATTTACCACAATCTGCAGGAGAGTTGAAGCAAACAGCAACATTCCCTCCTCCATCTCCACAACAGATTCTCAGCAGATGTTTTCTTTTTGTTAACCCAAACACTTTCACAGCGTGCCTTATTCCACCCACTCACTCAAAATTGATGTGCTGGTATATGTCATTTCTGTTGGATTCAGGAGTGAATGCCATGTTGAGGAAAGTGGCGGTGGCTGCTGCATCCAAACCCCATGTGGAGATAAAACAGAACGGTGATCACTTCTACATCAAGACCTCCACCACAGTCCGCACCACAGAGGTCAACTTCCTCATTGGCGAGGAGTTTAACGAGGAGACTGTGGACGGCAGGAAGTGTAGGGTAACTAAGGATGTGAACCAGTGCTGGAATACTTCATATTGCAAAGAAATCCCAAATGGGGTTTAACTTAAAGGGATACGATGCAACTTTTTCATATTTTTAAATAATTTAACTGAGCTATTATGTGCTAAAATGACCCCACCGTCCTCATTGGCAAGAATACCGCATTTGCAACTTCACACTACCGGTCTGGTCTCTGTGGACATAGAATAAATTGAGCTGACATACCTGGCACTGCTGTCTGGCTCCAGCATGTTTTAGATCGTGAACACAGCTGATTTGTTTAATGTAGTGATGAATCACTCCTGTAAACACTAATGAAGGCTGGGGAGACATTTCAGCTGTTAGTTTAAGGTGTTAAAAAGACAAACACACAGCGAGGAAATGGGTTTTGCTTTTGGTGCTACTAAACAGACACTAGGGGGCGCTAAAAGCAAGCCTAAACTGCCTCATCTCCCTGTAAAACATATCTGATCATGGACGTAGTTTTGCCAATTTTTGTCCCCTGCACTTTTTACCGTCCAAAAACAATATTACACTATATTAAATAGACACTGGTTGAGCACTAGGACCAAGTGGAAAACAACTGTTTGTGTTGAAGCCTGTTTCCCATTAGAACCCATAAGCTCATCTATTGGCTCTGCTGATACATGCTAATGTGTGATTGACCATCGCTGCCACCTGTGCACTTGACAGTTTTACATTCCCGACATTGCATAAAAGAGCCTCTAGGCTGTAATTTTATTCATATCATTTGTATACTTCACCCCCCCCCCCAACTACGTCATGCCTCTGACTAAAACCAAAGTATGTATATGTGTATATAAATATATGTGTGTGTGTGTGTGGATTGTTTGTTTTTTACAGAGTTTGGCCACATGGGAGAAAGAAAATAAGATTTACTGTAAACAGACTCTGGTGAGCGCAAATGGCCCGAAGACCTTCTGGAGTCGAGAGCTGAAGGGGGATGAACTCATACTGGTGAGGTTTACGGTCATTATAAATATAGTGACAGACGAGGGAACAAGGGATAAAACTTTATTAGATCTTCTCTTTTTTAGTAGCTTGTCATTTGCTTTCATGTCCCTCTAAAGTCCGGTGGAGTTGCTAGAAAATGAACAGAATATCTCCAGATGTTTGAAAGCTTCACAAAGTGTCAGATTTGGAAATCACTGTTTGTTTTCCACTTGGATGATTTAAGCTATTGCTGAAGAGCCACTTTTAGAGGAAAAGCTCAAGATTTTGAAAACTATACTTGAGTCTTTGGTAAAAGAAAGACTGAATCCTCCTATCATATATAGATGAGTGCAGCTCTGCTGTAAAATCTGGTCTAATCAACAGGACGTGTTTGCTTTAGTTTGTGTATAAAGGTTAAAAGTTAAACGAGCAGTTTGGAGGCAATCTAACGAGACTGGATCAGAGTTTCCCAAAAGAAAAAGGCCTCATTAAAGACCCATTTGTAAACTAACAGAAATGAATTCAGGTAGAAAACCTCCAGGGTCACTGGGGTTATGAGGAGGTAGCAGTGGCCACTCCAGTGTGAAAAGAGGTCAGAGCTAGCCATGACAGTAAACTAAAAGAATTGGAACTATGTTTTGTAGTGTTTCCAATTAAATGGTGGCGATGCCATTTATTTAGCATCCTTGCTGTGTATCGTGGATCTCTTTTCAGACTTTAACAAAAGACCTTTACGGCTACACATTTTCTGAGGCTCCACAGAGGAACCAAGTATTTAATGGATTGAAAGTTTCTCTGCCACGTTTGTTGTTGCATTCCACATAGCAATCCATCGTCTTGGATCCATCAGAAACACTTCTGCTTCCAGTTCCTGGATTGCAAAAAAAAAAAGTCTTTGCAAGAAACCTGTAAACATCTGGTTCTGGTTTACCGGCCAGATGGAGAGAGACCGAGAGATGAGGTTATGTCCAGCTTGACTTTGATGGAGATCTCTTCCCAGACTGACTCACCTCTGCAGAGAGGCAATCAGGAGAACATTAGGGAGGGGTTGTGATTTAGACTGAATGCAGGTTTTCAGACATGAAACAATGCTTTGACCGTACCAAAATCTGGTTTGATTCAACATCAGAGTGTGTGTGTGTGTGTGTGTGTGTGTGTGTGTGTGTGTGTGTGTGTGTGTGTGTGTGTGTGTGTGTGTGTGTGTGTGTGTTGGACTGAAATCGGATAGCCCTGTGGGAATGGATCACTGAAGATCACACATTTTTTTAATACCAGTGAGGAGGCAAAGGTCAGACAGATTTAATTCTTTGGATGTTTAGATTTGGATGATCTGAGCGCTATGTGCTCTGAAATATTTAATAAGTGACATGTGTTATGTTGCAAAACTTAAAAAATGACAAATAGTATCCTTTAACAGCTGGTAATATTTAAATGTTATGAACAATCTGTTTGTGTAATTATTAAACTACTGCTTGTTGATTATTTCTAAATGAAAAGTTGTCCATTTTTGGTGCCTTTTCTAATTTGAAGACATCAGGGTGACTTTAGTTTGGAGTTAGAAAGACTGTCTTAAATGGATTAAAGGTGCAATATTACAGTGAAATGATCACACGCCAGTCTAATGTCTCCATCATGTTGGAAAGAAGGTTACATTGAAACAGATTGCCCTCTCAGCCAGCTGGGGTTGGCAGTTTTTCCCTTTTCAAAATGGCAAAAGAGGGGACATAATATTTGTTTACAACATGTATGCCTGCGGGGTTGCCTAGCCTAAAGGCAGCATTGATTTGTAAAAAATCTAAACCAATTAACAGGAGTGACCCATAAGTTTTTTTTCTTGAACTCCGAATTAGCCACTGCTTCATTTTGTTTGACTATAATATCAGGTAAAGAAAGCTAGAGGCTAACAATGCTAACAATGAATTAGAGGGAAATAGTCAGCTCTGAAAATATCAAGCTACTTTTTCCAGTTACCAACAATTCAATATTACTGTGAAATATATTTATCTACTCATTAATGCACTCATCATCACGGATCTTCTGGCACTGATCTATAACTGGTAACAGCCAGGAAAGTCTGAACTGGAGAGAAAATGTCACTTTTTTGTTTTGAAGATGGGCTGCAGTACCCAAATCTGACCACAGGATGTCTCTCTCTTCGTTCTTACATATTGCACCTTTAATTTAACAAGACTGTTCTATAAAACTCAGATAATGGCTAAAATAACTGCTTAAATGGCCACTCAAATAAAATCCTATATCTCTGATCGAATTGCAAACACGATCAGAGGATATCACATGGAATTATTTTGTGCAGCACTTGTGTGACAAATCATCACGTGTGGAGAATGTGAATTTCTAAAGTCCCCCTAGTGTCTTAGTTAGGTCTCAATTTAAACATCTTTTGTACGTTCGTTTTGTGAGCTTCATCCAACTGCATTACCTGGTTCTTTTTTTACTGAGCAAAACAGGAATTAAAGGTACAAATTTGCTGTGTTAAAAAAGAACCAGGTCTCAATGAGTTTGTGGTTTACTTGCAAGTTGGTAACGAACCCCTCTAAACATTCTCGCTCTTCTGATTTGCAGAAATTTAATTGAGAAAGGTTTGAGACAGATTCCAGGGAAACCAAAACATCGCTCTCTTTTTTTTTATACAGATGTTTAAAATTTCAGTTGTCTGGAATTATTTTGGTCAGCATTTGCACGGTGGTGATAAAAACACCTTTACATTCCTCATCTGGACAAAATCAGATTATTTACAAAAGGTGAACCACTAAGAACCTCAAGCACGTCCTCCACATTTCATTAAAGGTATTTCACATCATCTCGTCTCTGGTTGGACTTTAATCAGGTGATGGTTATGATTAAGTCATTGTTGGAGATATTTTCCTCCCAGTTGGCTCCTAACTGGCCTTACTGATCACACTGATGAAAACTGCTAATGGTCCTTATTGTTCCCTCCAGTAACCGTCTCCTGCGGCATCACACCACTCACCAGATGGGAGTCCTCGCAGCTCAATTACTCTGGGATCCAGTCTGTTACTGCAGAGTTAATGAGAAGGAGAGCTACCCTTTTCTCTAGAGACTCTAATAAATCTCTGGACTATTCATGGAGTTACAATTGGTCTACAAAACCCCCCACAAGACCAGGAATACTAATCTGAGATGAATCATGCCCAACTGTCTGAGGTTGTGTGGAGTGGACATCTAAAGCCAAGATCACAGAATTCCATGTTTGGTTCTTTTTTAAACACAGATAAGGTTTTTCTTTACCTTGCTGACGGTTTCGTTTGCGGCTGCAAACATGTTGATGCAAACACAGAGACGGCAGCAAGATGTTTGCAGCCGCAAACAAAACCGTCAGCAAGGTAAAGAAAAACTTTATCTGTGTTTAAAAAAAAACCAAACACGGAATTAGAAGACAAACACAGCGAGAACGTACAAAAGATGTTTAAAGATCACAGAAATTTGACAAATGTTAGATGCCACTGAGGCAATTCAATTTCGCCATTGTTTAAAACATAAAACTACCTGTGGTTTTAAGCACAAAAGTACGAGAATAATGCATAACCCCTTACTACTGATTTATTCATTTTGGACACAACCACTAAAGTTCAGACTAAATGTAGGTCCGAGGCCCAAAGGGAGTCATCATGGATTTATCCAACATGGAAATGTGCTCGCCCAGTTGGGTCAGTGATGTTCTGGATCACACACAGAGATGTCAAACACACATTTCACAGAAAACCCCAGACAAATCTCATTTAGACAGAGGTCTGTGAGGGATAAAGTAACAACTGTTTTTGGAAGGTGAGGCAGTACTGTTTGACCGCTCGGTCTTTTGGGACGTTTGTGGGTGTGCAAACTTGTTTTAAAGTTTGAAGCTTCATGGATGGACGTCTAGAACCACTTATGTGAAGCAGATAAAACGTTTTGCTTGAATTTACCGTGTTATTCTTCCAGCTCTCTACCACAGGAGGTCTTATCTACCCAAATATGTCGCACAAAAATAGTCAATCAAGATGCTGCTGTTTAATTTTCTTGACTCTCGCATTTCGTTACAGCTGTTTGGAGCGGATGATGTGATCTGCACACGGATCTATGTACGAGCATAAACTTCTACACACCAACAGACCATCGACATGGGGAAACTTCATTACACACACAGTGTCGCATCTCTATGCAACACTTTTCTGTTGTTCATTTTCCTTTCTCTATCACAAAAATGAAGCAGTTTTTAACACACACACATTAACTCCTGCTGCTTACTGGTCACAAAGCGAATAAAAATGTGTGTGCTTCAGAAAGAACTGGTCTAAAGAGTTTTTGTCTACTCAAAGGGTTGTTTAATGTTTAACACCATACTAACACTCATGTACAACATCATAAAATTCAAGAGAAGTGACACAATAAACGAGGTACAAACGATGTCTGTATGTACAATCAGCTCCACCAGGACTTGTGTTTTTCTATCACAAATGCAGTAAATATAAAAATAAAAACCCAGGTATTCAACTATTTAGAGATTGTCTGCAGCAGGTTGTTACCCACTGCTGCCTTCAGGAAAATGGACGTCTTGTCTGGCAGTTTTAGGCCTTGAAAGCTCATTTACTTCCATCCTGCCTATGAAATGAACTCGTATGCTGAACTCACAGCATCATTTTTCTCTGAGGTTTACTTTTAAAATCAGATCCCAGCATTTAGTTTGATGGATCTCAATCTTTCCTCTTACTAAAATATCCAAAATGTTTAATTTTAATTTGGCTAAAATGCAGAAAGACAAAGGCAATAAAAAGATTATTGGGTTTAAATTTCTCCATTGTGGAAGAACAGCATCCTCTATCGTAGTACAGCAAGAAAAACCAACCAATAGCTTAAATAAAAGGAAATTATTGCTTTTTTTTAAAGGCCTTTAACTGCAGATCAGCTGTTTACCAACCAGTGTTTGTCACCAACACAGACGCATAAAAACAAACTTGTGGACCCGTCGTACAGGTTCGACTTTTGCAAACTTTAGATCCAAGAACGCTCAAAGTACTCTTAAAACAGGAGTACTCCAAGAGCAGCCACACAATATACTGCACTTTTGAGAGGAGAATTGTTGCTCAGCTACATTCAATCATCCTAAAACCATCTGTGTTAACAGTGCCTGAAAAACCTTGGGTGGAAATGCACAGAGAGATCTAATCACTTTGAAAATTTGCTTTCTTCCTTAAATTAAAAAGAAATCTGAGTAATGTCCTTTGGTAAAAAATGGTTTAGTTCGACTTTTCTTGAGAAAAGTCTTCTGCCTGAAGCCTGACGCGTTAATGTATGCTACACATTATGACACAAAGCAGAAAAACATATTTACAGAGTTTTGGGCCAAATATAAATTACTGTGCTTGATACACCCATCTGGCAATGTCGTAATACCAAGCATCTATCAAGCTGGTGCCAGAAATGCTGAATATACATACATACTGATGTGTTGTGCATTACTGCACCTTCACCACCAACAGAGAAAACATTCACAGGTGTACAGCTGGAAGCCATGTTAAGCTCAAGATCCAACACACAAACATTTGAACAGAAGTGACCAAAAGGTGTTACCTTGAGAGGAAATCGGAGCTCGCCATCTTTTTTTTTCTTCTGTAAAATGATTTAAGTGTTCACAAAGAACACTTTTCGTCTTGTAAAACCGGGGTTTTGTGTTTGAGCTGAGACGCACAACAGAACGGATAAATCCTGAATTGTCCCGTTTATTTACATATAAAAATCCTATTACTTCACTAAGGAAGGGTGGGAAGGGTTCAAAGAGGAAACGACACGTGTAAAACCTAAGTTATGAGTTTGCTGCAGAATTTGCAACAAATTTTGGATCATGTGTGAAAAGTTTAAAATGTACATCCTTTTTGAAACCCAGGTGGACAAGCCAGCATATTTTGGCAACAGAGTCCAGTAATGAGCGGTTGAATAATTCATCTCTGGCAGTTTGTTTCTGCTAAGCGCACTACAGTGTCCTGTACTTCACCCGGTACTTGTTAACGTTGAGGTAATGAAGGACCTCGGGACAGCAGGTGGTGGTGCAGGACAGAAGTCCCTCTTGTCCGTCTCCCATCAGCCACTTCTGAGTGTTGGCGGACATTTCACTTGTCACGTGTTTCTTGGCCCAGATGTCCAGCCAGGTGTGAAAGCGTCTGTGCAGCCGTGTGTTTACTCGCTGGTGGGACTGAAAAACCACAACGAAAGACCGCAGATCATTACAGAGCAAGTAACACCTAAATGAGTGTCTAATAGAGTGTAGTCAGTGCATCGTATTCAACAATTCGGTCTAAAACTAATTATTTTTCCAACTTCGGGTTAAACTCTGCTCTACATAGTTTTAGATTCAGCCACAGCTGATGGCTAAGAGGTGCAGGGTGATGTTGTCTGTTCTGTTTCACAAGGCCGCACCTCCAGCTGTCTCGGCCACTCATGAGACGATATAAGCCGATACGGCTCAGAGCTGCTCGTCTAACAGAAACATTCTCCTCCCTTTCTGCAAGTGATTGAGGTGGAGGGTTTCCCCCAGTGCTTTATAAGCCCCCCCCCCCCCCCCCCCCCCCCAGTCACAGACTGTCAGTGGTAGTGAAACAAAAAATGTGCCCCTCCTCCAGTGTCACGAATGACACACGGTAGTGAAATGATCCGCTCGCACAGTCGGAACAGCACTGAAATGTAACTTGAGAAGCTTTTGTCTTTCAGAAAATGTAATTGTAATTAAAAATGTTAGGAGTCATTTGGTTCTTAAGGCTTTCACTATTGCTGCACCTGCAACCTGACTCTGGATGAGTGTAGTATGAATGGATGGAGATGCGATGTGGAGCTAAGGGTGGCTCGGTCCCATCAACAACCAGCAAATATCTTTTGGTTTGTGAGAACCCCTTTGACCCAGACTGCTTTTGCCTCGTGTCAGCCCAGCAGAGTGATTTCAGTCGGTGCAGCTCGGTTCTGGTCGGTACCTTGAGAACCTCTGACTTTACAGCAGAATTGGACAGCAAACTTCTTCTGATGAAGGAGCTGGACCTGTTCCATGTCAATTCAGCAGGTAAGTGAGAGGTAGCAGGAATGTGAACATAAAGCCTGATCTTTATTTCTCCGTCAGCACGTAGACCTGCAGGGGCACTGCAGTAGGATCACAGAGGGTGACGGAGATGTGGTCAATTTCTTAACTGTTCGTCAAAAAGCAATGGAACCCGCTAATTTGTGGTTGTTCATGAAGCCATTTCCTTTAATTAAATAAAAGAGTGGCGAAGATGTCTAGCGGCAGATACGGAGCAGTTCTGAGAACGTCTCATGGAAAAAGTCAGACGATGTGAATGTTTATTCACTTGTGATTGAAGGAGTACAAAAACACGCAGCAAACTTCATTCGTGGAAGGAAAATGCAGAAAACATGGGCTTGGAGGTGGTGACTGTATGGAGAGGTGGAGGAGGACGGGGGACAAATTTGTCTGTGTTGAAAAGTCTCTGAAATAAATAAACACAATAGTAAATACACCATCATGGACTGGAAATGTGACTGCTATAGGAGCCTAAGTCACGTCCATCTACTTCCGGACCAGGGAGAGGAGATTCTGTGGTGATGTCATATATGTGATGTGCCAATGTCTGGTTTGTAGTCATGCTAATTACAAATTTTTACAAACTGATAAATCTCAAAATACGTGACTGGCGTGGTCGAAATGCACATCATTAGTTTTCATTCAAATTGTAGTACAACATATGTGTGATCCATGGCGTAAGGCAAAGCAGATTAGAAAATAGCTCTTTTAGCCCCGTTGACTTGCATTCATTTTTTCGTTCTTCCGGGGACTCGTGAGCCGACCGGAAAGGGAGGCGACTTAGGCTTCCTATTGCGGCAGGATTTCCCCTGAAAGGCGCTGGTGGCAAATTGCTTTGCAACACTCCCCAGACAAAGAAGTCCAAAGCAAAAATGTCTTGTTAATGGCGTGCTTAACATCCAGCCCTTTCAAGAGGTGACTGGATGTGGCCAGCAACAGCTTGTTTTTCTTAAGTGAGAGCCCTAAAACGGCTCATTCTGGAAGGTACTGAAAATCTTGAAAACAAAACTGCTGAGATTGCTTTATGTGAAGGATTTTGTGCTTTTAAAAGTTCCTGAACATGTTTTGCACAAACCTTCGAACTACTGAAACTTATAAAAAGTCCTAATATATCTCCTTTAGTCATGTAATAAAAAATCCACACAGAGCAGGTGTCTTCTTTGTAGCTTCCTTCAAGAACATCAGAAACATTTAAATTTTGACCTCAAAACCCAATACTGTACTTTATCATTTAAGGTAAAGAAAAGATATAGAATTTATTGTGATTTCTTTTCCTGATTTACACACATTTGGCTTCTTTTCCCAGGAAAACAGTGGGGCAAAAAAGTATTTAGTCAGCCACCGATTGTGCAAGTTCTCCCACTTAAAATGATGACAGAGGTCAGTAATTTTCATCATAGGTACACTTCAACTGTGAGAGACAGAATGTGAAAAAAAATCCATGAATTCACATGGCAGGATTTTTAAAGAATTTATTTGTAAATCAGGGTGGAAAATAAGTATTTGGTCAATAACAAAAATTCAACTCAATACTTTGTAACATAACCTTTGTTGGCAATAACAGAGGTCAAACGATTACTATAGGTCTTTACCAGGTTTGCACACACAGTAGCTGGTATTTTGGCCCATTCCTCCATGCAGATCTTCTCGAGAGCAGTGATGTTTTGGGGCTGTCGCCGAGCAACACGGACTTTCAACTCCCTCCACAGATGTTCTATGGGGGTTGAGGTCTGGAGACTGGCTACGCCACTCCAGGACTTTCGAATGCTTCTTACGGAGCCACTCCTTTGTTGCCCGGGCTGTGTGTTTGGGATCATTGCTGTGTTGGAAGACCCAGCCACGTTTCATCTTCAAAGCTCTCACTGATGGAAGGAGGTTTTGGCTCAGAATCTCACGATACATGGCCCCATTCATTCTGTCCTTAACACGGATCAGTCGTCCTGTCCCCTTAGCAGAAAAACAGCCCCAAAGCATGATGTTCCCACCCCCATGCTTCACAGTAGGTATGGTGTTCTTGGGATGCAACTCAGAATTCTTCTTCCTCCAAACACGACGAGTTGAGTTTATACCAAAAAGTTCTACTTTGGTTTCATCTGACCACATGACATTCTCCCAATCCTCTGCTGTATCATCCATGTGCTCTCTGGCAAACTTCAGACGGGCCTGGACATGCACTGGCTTCAGCAGCGGAACACGTCTGGCACTGCAGGATTTGATTCTCTGCCGTTGTAGTGTGTTACTGATGGTGATCTTTGTTACTGTGGTCCCAGCTCTCTGCAGGTCATTCACCAGGGCCCCCCGTGTGGTTCTGGGATTCTTGCTCACCGTTCTCTTGATCATTTTGACCCTACGGGATGAGATCTTGCGTGGAGCCCCAGATCGAGGGAGATTATCAGTGGTCTTGTATGTCTTCCATTTTCTGATAATTGCTCCCACAGTTGATTTTTTCACACCAAGCTGCTTGCCTATTGTAGATTCACTCTTCCCAGTCTGGTGCAGGTCTACAATTCTTTTCCTGTGTCCTTCGAAAGCTCTTTGGTCTTGGCCATAGTGGAGTTTGGAGTCTGACTGTTTGAGGCTGTGGACAGGTGTCTTTTATACAGATAATGTGTTCAAACAGGTGCCATTAATACAGGTAACGAGTGGAGGACAGAAAAGCTTCTTAAAGAAGACGTTACAGGTCTGTGAGAGCCAGAGATTTTCCTTGTTTGAAGTGACCAAATACTTATTTTCCACTCCGATTTACAAATAAATTCTTTAAAAATCCTGCCATGTGAATTCATGGATTTTTTTTCACATTCTGTCTCTCACAGTTGAAGTGTACCTATGATGTAAATTACTGAACTCTGTCATCATTTTAAGTGGGAGAACTTGCACAATCGGTGGCTGACTAAATACTTTTTTGCCCCACTGTAACACTGTTGATGCACAGGATACTCACCTGATGAGCCCGTGAGAGCGCGGTGTGCCTGTACATGTAGTCCTCGGACTTGCAGACATAAACCATTTTGTAGGAGTTCAGTTTGAACATGCACTCCATCTTCAGCTCACTGCTGCTGTCCTGCGACTTGTCTGAGGAGCCTTTGGTGAGTCTCTCCTGCTGTAGCTGCTCCCATCCTCTCTGGCACTTCCTTATCCGTCTCAGATTCCTTGAGGTCAAAACAAAAATAACCATAACATGAAAATCACCAACTCGCGACTGCAAACAAACACACATCCAAAGTTAACACAACCACAGGTCAAATTATTTAATTTTACATCATATGAATCGGACATAATGCACTGTGCAGCTTTAAAGGGATAGTTTAGATTTCCGACTCAACAGAACTGCGTGTAACTTCAAAAGAATCCCTTTAAAGCCTCAGACGTGATACAAATAACAGTCAAACTTGAAACAAACCATTAAATTTAATAATCAACCCCTGAAACCTTTTATTTCCAAACCCATGCATTCCAGTTCACCAAGTAACAGCTTCAAAATTTTTTAGGGAGTCGAATCATTTATGGGAAATGTAGATCTATAAGAGCAGCAGAGGCACCAGTCGTAATAACTCTGTACAATGCACCTTAATAAACAGTTGCATTGTTCAGATTTAAATGAGCTCGATAAAAAAATAATCTTGATTGGTCCCAATTTTGTGCAGCTAATGCAAATGCAATTATTCACCCCCACCTAAATCAAAGTTTTAAATGTGTACTTACCACAGAGTACAGGTGAGCGGGGACTGAAGCCATGAAGCTTTTTTTTGTTTTTTGTTTTGCATTCAGGGCTCCACTTTAAAGACATGACAGTGAGGCCAATTTTAGATCAAAACTGTTGAAGACAAACACTAGAAAATGGCTGCCTGACCAGATACCAATTGAGAATGTGTTGATAATATTTGTGTACAAACTTTCACCAACGATGAACACAATGTTATGATCATGAAGATGAAAACCCAACACAACCAGAAAAGAAACTGCAGGACACTTTATGAGCAGCCATTTTTTGACCTGTTGTGCTGCTGATCTCTCATAGATCGGATGAAAAGGGAATAGAAAGATGTTATTGTGCTTGCCGCGTTTATGCGGCTGGTTGATTAAAACAAAACCATGAGAACCTTTATGAGTTTTAAAACATCTCTGAAATGGTTATGACAATGGGGAGCCTTCTTAACAGAAACAAAACGTGCAAAAGCACCAAAGAACACGGCGAGCAGGTTTCATGTACACCGATGTCAGGAAAGAAACACAACAACCTAAAATCATACAATTTAAACAGTTGTTTTATTCACAAACCTACTGCTCTGTACAAGTGTGGCAAACTAAAATATTAAAAAAACTTTAAGCAATATTCTGTCAAAGCAGCGTACAAAAAAATCTCATCATTAACAAAAGTTTCCACTGAAGATTGTTACAAGCAACGAATAAAAGATGTGAACAGGACATTTAAAATGCAAACATTTATAAAGTCACACACAGGACTTTGATCTGAATACAGTCACAAACAAAAGAGCCGGGCCTGTCCTCGCTAACATTCTCAGATTCCCTTCAGCTCAGGTGAAAGGCGCTAGAACATGTCTTACATCAATTAACTGTTTTACAAGTTTCATATTCAAACCCATGATTCTTTTCAGCAGAGAATAAAAGTGAAAATTAGAAACTCACAATTAGCTTAAACCACTTAAAATAAACGTTCCTATAAATAAAAATGTCATACAAAACCGAATCACTGAATAAATAATCTACTGCTTCTTCCGTTTTTAAGATGACCAAAGAGCAATCCTCCATGAGAGAAATGCAGAGACTCTAAGATCTCTGTAGTCAGCGTGAGGAAGGTCAGACAGTGGGAATGCGTCTCTGTAGCCATCTAGTACACCGGTTTCTTCTTAAATGGTGAACTCACGGAGAACTTGTGCAGTCGCAACACACTTTACAAGTCAGACTTGTGATTAAGTGCCTCTGTTTTTGGCAGCTGGTTTGACTTGTGTGGTAGTGACTCTGGGCTGCCTTGACCCATAAAACAGCTTAAACAGTGCAGATAAAAGGGGAGACGTGGCTGGAGCCTCACCTGGGGAGGAAAACTGGCTTCTGGGCCAAATGCTCACGAAGCTCTGGAGATGCAGAATCTGAGGTGAGGTACCTGCTAACATAGTCTGACCACTTCTGTAGAGGAGAGAGCAGAAAACACAAAAAAAAAACCATGTGTTGTATACATCTACACCCCAAACAGCTCACAACACAAAAACAAAGTGTGAAACCAGTGAGATTTTGCATGCAGCTCCATTAAAACATTTTTAGCTTCCAAGCGCTTCATGTGTTTCGCATTCGTATTCTTTTACAGGTGTTTCTAGTCTAAAACTAAACATTTTATGAGCAGCAAGAAAGACTGAATTCAGATTCTCAAGTATTAAAAATAAAGACCAAGTTCCGTTGTTTTTTCAGTACTCTGGTTCTCCGGTGAGGTGAGCAGAAGACGGCAAGATTTGGAGTCTTACTCATCAGTATTTATGATATTCAAACATCTCGCTTCTGATTGGCTAACAGCTGCGCTACTCTTCCACTGCCTCCAATCGCTAAGCAACACTGATGTTTTATCTCCACTAATCTAACAAGCACAAGGGAGTTCTGCCATGTTGTGGAGTTGCCAAAGCTAATGGTTAGCTTCTGCTTATCAAGACATGCTCTGCTCTCTCCTGGATGCTTACCCCTACTTTCCACAGGACGCTTTGCAAAACGTACTTAACAATTGGCCCCCCGTCATAGTGGATGTGTTCCTTTCCACCGGCGTTGCGTTTTGGGCGTGAGAAATTAATCAACAACAGCCTCTCCCATCGCAAACCAAGATGAGTAAATCCATGAATGCTCATTTCCAGTGTGATGTAGATCTAACTGGCCTTTCTAATCTTCTATCGGCCGCTAATGCAGGAAACAAGAGTAGGAGACTATTTTCATGTTCAGCCATCATGTGAAACTCAGACTGCGTGATCATATTTCAATAATAACAAGTAAAAAGTGGTTTGTAAGTGAACTTACTCTTTAATGAAGTCTAATTGTAGTTCAGCTTAATGATTAAAAACAGCTGGTGACTGAAACGCTGACCCACTTGTTGTTAAAGCACATCAGTTTTAGATGGATGAAACATAAACCTGTTAGCAGGTAAACTTGATAAGATAAGAAAATAAAACAGGACTTGGAGGATTCTTACTTCTGCGTCAGCGGGCTCGTCAGAGTTCTCCTCCTCTGTATCTAGCAGCTCTAGTGCCAGGCTGACTGATCCACGGTTCTTCACAAACATCAACTGTGCAAAACAAAAGCGATTAGAGGACAGTGCATATAAAAAAGTGATTAATGTAGGAAGTATATTAGTTATTTCTCCTGTTTTGGTACCTTGAAGCAATTCTCATCAGTCATGAGATGCTCTGCTTTGCGTTGGTAGGCTCCCTCTGCAGCAGCTCTAGACGTCTGCGTGGACACCAAGCCGCCTGTTGCTTTATTGGCACACTCACTCAGATACATGTCCGTCACACGCACGCATATGTCATCAGTAACGAGATGTTGGAGCTGTAAATGAATTTATTTTAACAAGTGACAACAGCACTCCTTCAAGAGTTACTCAGATATTCTGCTTAGCAACAGCAGCATTAAAACCACATTTAGAGATGCATCCTTTTAAACAGCTGATTACTTGTCTGGACTTGAACTGACCTGTCGGACAATGCTCTGGATCAGTTTGTCCATGGTGAAGGCGACGTAGGCATGGATGGTGAACATCTCTCTCAGGGAGTCCTCATACTGAGCCGGCTCCATGTTCCCATCCAAAAGATTTCGCACCATTTCCAGAAACACGGAGTAATAGTCCTCTACATCCACATCCACTGCAGACAGAGAGCAAGCATCTCTTATTCAGTGGCTTTTAAGAGCACATTCAAACTCACAAATCAACAAAACCTTCGTGTTATTACTTACTTGGCTCTTTCATCTTTAACTGGACTGCCGGATTATCATTTTTGTCCCTTTTCAGCCCCAACACTTCCTTTTCCCACTCTCGCTCCCGGCTTTCCTGCTCGATCTGCTTCTCAGCTTGTCCGTAAATCCGCAGCAAACGGGAACAGAGGATGTGATAAAGACGAAAGAAGACATACCAGTAGTTGTTCACAAGGAACAAGTTATAGGCATCGTCTGTGCCTCGCAGCTTCTGAGCAGCAGTGTTACTGAACAAGAGCTTAGACTTTGAGGGGCCGGGTAGACCGTTGGGCTTCTTGGGGCTGTCCTGATTTGTTTCCATGTCCTCTTCCTCTTCTTCCTCCTCCTCCTCCAAATCAGAGAGCTCCCCGCGTCGTGCAAACAGAAGGTCAGGGACAAAGTGGTGGATTATCTGTTTGATCTTGAACTTGTCTTCTTTCTGGATTCCCACTTGTCGTTTGACGTGGTGGATGATGAGGGCAGCAGCATCCTCCAGGATCTGGCTGTCGTCATACGTCAGGGTCATGTGTGGGCCACTGGGCGGAGGAGTGGCAGTTTCCTCTGAGGCTTGTTCCTGTCGCTGCAGGATGGACACACACAAGAGAGACCTTAAATCAGACATCTTCATAGCATAGAATAAAGAAATGTAAGCACCACGATGATCTGAAGTTAGGGCTAAACATTCTGAAGTTAAATTGTTGCCTCACATCTTCGTATAACATCTCGATTTCGTTGAGCAAAGTCTTGGAGCGCAGCACTTTGGTGTCATTCTGCTTGAAGTTTATGCCCTGATGGTCAAGTGATTTCAGATAATACTTTTCATTCTGCTCCCGCCAGATTTTGTTGAAGCCTCTTTGGGCTTCTTTCCACTCCTCCTCCTTCATTTTTAATCTGAAACGGTGATAAAACATCATGTTACACTCATGAACATCGCCGAGTCATCAGAAACCACTCCTAAACTGACCAGGTGTTGGAGAGTTAGGCCCAGCCCTTACCTTTTCAGCACCAGGGGTACAGACACAGCGGGGTTTCTCTTGAGCCCATCAATTATGTCGTTAGCTTTGTCTCCATATATCCTCTGAATCGCTTTGCGGTGAATGACCTCCGAGGAGCCACCCATGGTGTTGTCCAACCTGAAGCGTAACTGCTCCTCTGCCGACATGCGAGAAAGCCTCCTCTGCACCGTCTCCAGGGCTCGTATGGTGGCAAGGTTGTTTTCCAGCACGATATCCAGCTACAGCAGGTACGGCAATGATGAGATCAGTCATCAGTGAGTTAACATAAACCTGGTTTCGAATGCCAGAATGCCCTCGGTTAGCTAATCAAGCAGAATTAAAGAGAAAGTCACCCCTACATAAACCTTTTTGCTGACAAACTTAATATAAATGTGTCTAATAGTGCTGTAGACATGTGAAGTCATTATTTTGGCATTTTAGTACATCTCATTTAAAATTTAAAATGTCATTGCTCCACCATAAGGTAACCCTCTGCACCACACTGAATTTGAATCAGCCATCACTATTGGCCAGAGGTACCCTGACAGGAGGAGTGGGCTGCGTAAGACTCTGGTAGGAGTCTTCCTCTTTAAAGGTGCATTATGTAGGAATGAAGGAAAAATGACATCCTGTGGTAAAATTTGGTCACTGCAACCACTTTAAAAAAAAACCCGGACGTCATCAAATTACAGTTGTTGGTGCTGCAGTATTAGCTCGCATGAGACACGGCAACCCCTCACTGGGTAAACAGTAGTTACGTCCCTCCTTCCTTTGTTTTGAAAGGAGAAAAACTGAATCCCTGCAGCCTGCTGGATATGAAACATGTTTCAGTAAAACCTTCCTTCCAAAATGACTGAAACATTATACTCTTTTGGAATTTTCTCACTGTAAAATTCTCACTATATTCTTACATACTGCATCTTTAATGAAATACTTTAACATCTGAACAAAAAGCAACACAGAGCAAAATGTGTCGTGTTTGTGTTCAAGCCTTCCTTACCTCAAATCGCTCGTCCTCACACCTGTAAATGTGCTCTTCATATTGAGTCTTCTTGGAGCTCACAAACGTGGAATCTTCAGACCAAGAAGGAAATGACACCCAAGTGTCGTTCAGTACCTGCAACAATTACATTTAACTCTCCATTAAGTATTTTATTTTCATGTCACAAAAAGAAGTGAAGGAAGGTTTAACCTCTGACAACCACGTCTCTAATTTCACATTTCTTTTTCATTTTCCATTCAGTTTTATTTGGTAGTATAAACTCAAGTCTAATTAAAATACTGTAATAAAATTATTGATTAATGTACCACAGAATCTCTAACACTAACCTCTCTGCACAGCGGGGTTCTTCCTGTGCACTTGGGTTGCTGGTAACTCTTTGGTAGCGCTCTGTAGCTCGACCCAAGCCTCTTACAGGAAGCATAGTCGATCTCCATGGCAATGCCCTCTGTAGAGCGCTCCTTAGGTAAAATTTCTGCATGACTCGACTCTCCAAGACTCGACTCCCGGTAGCCCAAGAAGTTTTTGAACCACGTAAAAAGTTCTGGGAATTTCCTGCCATTCAAACCACAATAAAAATGATCAGAGGTGAACTTGAGTAATTTACTTTAGCCAGCAATTACAAAGTTATGTCTTCCTCAGTTTACCAAATGATCTGATGGTAGGCAAATCTTACAAATCAAAACAAAGTTCGGCTACGGTGTAAAAAATGACTCAGCATTTTCTGCTCCTGTGACCGGTCAAACTTCCACAGACGTACCCCAGAAAAGGGATGACCAACTGGACCAGCTCAGTGCGAGAAATCACTTCCTGGTTGAAGATGTGCAAACAGCGTAGGAAGTTGTCATATGCCTCTGAGCTCCGTAGAGCCTTCCTCACCTGCGTTTAAACACAATACAGATATTTCATTTTGCCTTGAGATGATTTCACAATTAACACGATTAATAAAACTCACTTTATATTGTTTTTGCAAAATTTTTAATAATCGTAATGTCATATATACCAACCTTTTCAAAGAACATTGTTTCGGTGCTTGTACTGAGTTTACTGAATTCAGTCATGCCATGGCCCTTCCCCATCATTAGGGATTTTTTCTGCAAGGTAGTAGTTTCTGATTAGTTTAATAATAATTTTTAAAAGTTTAAAACAATCAAGTTGTGGTAGAGTTCAACAACCCTGTTGCCATTTTCAAATGAAAGTTGAACTTATAGTCTACTTCCATTCACAAAAAGCCCGATTAATAAAGTTAATAGAAAGCTGTGACGTGGATGTGTACCTTGGCAGGTGGAGTGGTGGCCACTCCAGAAGGTCTTCTAATGGGCAGGCCATTCTGACTCAGTCTCTGTTTGTTCAGCGGAGGTCTCTTTACTGTGGGACCATGATCATTACGAACCGACTCTGCTCTGTCGGGTGTAGTCTTGCCCAACAGCTTGAAATGAAGCAAAACATCCCAATCAGATAAAAGAATGGGACAGAAAGGGTGAAATCAAAACATTTGTGAACACATCAAAGACTTTTTTTAATTTTACACCTGAAAGAATGAAAAACTCTGAATGCATAAAGAATGACTTTAACATATATAAACATGAATGTTGTGCCCAAGTGACAGTGGCTGCACGGTTGTCTAAAAAATTCTTAACATCTATGTAGTTTACAAAGCAAAATATACTTAGATTTCTCTTTTTAGAGCTACTAAAAACAGCAAAAACACCAAAGGTTTCATTTTACATTCACAACAACTTAAAGAAGAAATTATTTGAATCTGACCAACAGTTACATCTAGTGTTGATCAGCTATAAACTAAAACATGCCTGCTCGCTCCACCTAGTGTTAGATCTGTGTACACACACACACAGATGTACTGAACAAGTACAGCATCCATGGTGAGTTTATAACATTTCAGCTCGATTAGACTCCTTTCTGAGTGCATTCAGACAGACTCACCACGGAGCTGTTAGCATCAGGCAGGAACTGTCCAAACTCGGAGAGCAAGTCCTCCTGGTTCTTGAAGAGTCTCGCTACTTGAGTGTAGACCTCCTGCTCAGTCAGAGCTGGGGTGTAATTGCCACCAGCCTCCTTAGCATTCCGCTGCTCCTTCTGAATTATTCATTACACATCGAAAGAGATTAGTGAGTTTTGGTTATCAGCTCCCATACGTTTTGATCGGAGAATGTTCCTACCTGGTATGTGTGCAAGATCTCAAGGAAGGCTTTGTAAATGTCAGGCTGGCCCTGAAAGCGGTTCTTGATCTTGTTGACGTAGTTGATAGCGTGGTTAAACTCCACAGGCTGGTTGTTCTGTGGGGGCGGTCCACTGGATGGCGTGCTGCTGACAGGAGTGTTGGGCTGAACTGAAGGTGAACGTGGAGAGGCATACGCCGGGATGGATGGATTGGGCTGGCTGGTGGGTGTATGGGCTGGAGACTGAACAGGCTGTTGAGAATACCCAAAAAAAAAAAAAACACAAAGAAGTTAGGATCTCCTAAAATAATACCTGTAACCAGTTGGTAAATACATTCTACCTTGCTGGTTTTGTTTAACACAGGCTGAGTGGCTAGTGGTGGAGTAGCAGTCGTAGTGGTGGTAGTAGTGGTGTGTGGTCCAGTCTGTGGCAGAGTCTGATGCTGGTGGTGGGTTGGGAGTTGGCTGGGTGCCCCACTTGCAGGAATGTTTTGTACAGAAATACCTTGAGGGGTGATGTAGTGGATCTGACCGGGCGTGGTTACATTGACTAGATCGTTGGTCTGAACCTCAATTTTATATCCGGGTGGCAAGAAAGTATTAAAACCCATAATAAGGTCGGGGTGGCCCTTAAAGAGCTGGGACACACGATTTATGACACCAGGAGTGTCTATGCTGGAGAAACAAAAGGAAGGATGCTCATGTTTAGAGCTTCACAAGCACAGTTTCATTTGGACACATGAAAATAATAAACCATTTTCTCTGAATGTTAAATGAACTGGAGTACAGCTAAAACTTACCTTTGTGATTTAAACTCTTTCATAATATCAAGGAAATCATTATAAACTTGTGGCTGATTCCCAAACTGCAGTTTAACTTGATCTAGATAGGACAAGGCATCTTCCACCTGCAAAGCAAAATAAATAAATAACAACAACAATACTACTAATATATATATATATATATATATATGTATGTATAGGATCTACTGAAAGCAAAATAACTCACATAAACTACAATGTGGTATAAAACTGAAGGATGTAAGGACTTTAGACTAATTGATAATTCATTCATACCTTGAGTCTCTGAAACTGCTGTTGCTGCTGCCCCTGGGCTGAAGTTATGGGTGCAGGTGGATGGACATGGCCTTGAACCACTGCAGGAACCTGTGGCTGAACTGCTAGACTGTGTGCATGAGGAGTAATATGAGGCGCAGTACTATTGTGTCCATGTCCACTTGTGCTTTGAGGCATTGTAGGCACCTTTCAGGAATAAAGACAAAACCACTTTAGAATCAAAGAAGCCCAGTCACATCCACATATACATTTTAAATACAAAAACACTCTTGCAAACTCCTCAGATTAAAAAAGCTTTAAGTGTGTTTTTTGTATTAGGTGTTGTTTATTATTTTTTCTCTCCCAAGGATGTAATATGATTTTAAAAGTAATATAGTACTTGGTATTGTAGTTGATAAAAACTCAATGTGACATCTGTTTCAAAACATACCTGGTAGCCCTGTGGGAGAGAATACTGGATGCCGGTTGAGGGCTGCATGTTCTCTGCAGGTTTCTCTATTACATTTGGAGCAAGAGCAAGGGCCCGGTGCTGGAAACTTTCTGCAACACCTTGGACTGGGGGGCGGCGTGGCTGCTGTTGCTGAGGAGCAAATATTGGCTCTTGGTCTTCTGCACGCCTCTTCATTGTATACACATACTCAAAAGGGCTAAGGAGAAGAAAAAAGAAAAACAAGCTGTGAAAATATGCACAATGTCTAACATAAGTATTATTCAGGAGTTTTTTATTTTTTGTGGAAAGAAAAGTCTAACTTGTTCATCACAAGTACAATTATGTATATGTGATCAAATACTGCAGCTTTACTGACATGTCAATATGAACATTCACTTCTGAAATCAGTCATCAATAAATATAAAGAAGGTATCCATTTATGCATGCAAACAAAGTAGGTCAAGTTCAAAGTCTCAGCATCCTTTCTAACCACAATAGTTGCAAGTTAGGGGTCAACTTTCAATGAGCATTAAACATGTGTCCCAGTTACGACATAAACAACTCAATCTGAGTTACGATCATCATCACAATCACCTGTGTGTGCATTCTTCCGGACTATTTTGCGTTGGATTGTTTTGATTTTGTTTTGGAGCAAGTAGTGGTTGAAATGCAAAGTTTCTGTTTTCTTCATTGTGTTATCCTGTATTTTGGCACCAATTCAGTCTATGCAGATTCAAATGCTTCTCAAATGTACATTACTTCTTATAATGTATATTTATTTGATTCTGAACGCTTAAAATAAACGTATCTGCTTCGTATCCATCATATATTGTGCTGCAATGTCCATTCACATCTACTGAGAAAAGTAATTTGTCGACGGTCCCTAGGAGAACGTCATAGGATTCGAGAAACGAGGGGAGTCTTTGTGCCTCCCCGCTCTACACCACCGTTTTCGGTAAAGACAGCGGCTGAGTGCACGTCCTCCGGTCGCCGATATGGTGTCTCTCGCACGTTTAGCTTCGATTTTTATTTGTCGAAACAAGAAGCTAATAGTCCAGTAAGTGAAGGGCTGTAAAAGTAGTGATGTGAGGCAACAAAAAACCCGAACATTTATCTGCCATTGTACATTTTTGCTGGCACGTAGGCGCTGTCTGTTCCGCTCGCTGTAGCCCTACCTCCTCCCCTCCCCCTCCGCGCTAAACCTCGAGCTATCCGTTTTCGACGAGCTGACCGCGTTCGTCGCTCCGTCTTCATGGCTGACGTTGACTTTCGTCCTAGCGTTAAGTTATCTGGCCAGCACGTTGTAAAATGTTTGCTCTTTTAAAGTGATCTGGCAGACAGAATCGGCTAGGATTTGGTTGTTATTGTCGAACAGAAAGAGTCCGTGATAAACGGGACTCCGCCAACTAAAACATCAATTGGGCTTAAATGACATTACCCCTTATGATGGCTAGACGACATCGAAAACAGCCATGCTTCCTCAAGCTGCCGAGGCGATACCGCATTTGACCTTCTTGATCATTACATGTTGCTACCTGTACATGGCAGTTAAATAAGTTTCATGTTCGGTTTTTAATTTTGGCCATAAGTAGCTCAGGAAAGCGCTATCGCGACCGGAGCTGAGCGAGTGCTAAACATTGCATAAACGTCTAAATATGACGAGTTTGGTCAAATAATTCTTGATATCAAGCTGCTTCTCTCACATCATCAACAGTCTCTTATCAAACCAGAACTGAGCAAGAAAAAAAATACAGTAAATTACACTGTCAGGTTAGCCTGCTGGTTAGTAGCTTGTCAGCTAACCGCTACTAGCTGCACTAGCAACAAGCATTGCCAACTTCTCGACGCTGCTAGCTTATGTAGCCACTACTAAAATCTTAATTTCACTGAAAGACAAAAAAATAAAAAATTAACCAAAACATTTTATCTGCAGCTAAACAGCAACTAATATTTGCAAACTATTTTTGTCAGCTCGGCAAGGTTAAGTAGGGGCTTGCTACATTAGCACAACAACCAACCCCCATTAGGGATCTCTCGGCTAACCAGCTAACATTAGTTTTAACTTACCACGAGCGGCTGCCACCAGCTACAACTTGACAATCTAGTTTGACGGATCCGGACTAACAACCCGCCAGATATCCTACCACCTGGTAGGAGACGAAAAGTGAAGTTTTGAGAAGTATTCCCCAATTGAATTGAAAATGCCTGTACGTCGCTAACAACAGTGTATGTATGAAACGGTGTTCCTTGAACATAGAGGCGTGTCCATCGTGACGGCGCGTGAGTCTCCGCCTGCTCTGTGATGTGATTGGTCTGATCTCCAGGATGAAAACAAATACAGTAAAGGCAGTGAGCAAATATCTTTGGTTAAATGCGTCTGAAGATGGACCACAGTGACGGACGCGTTAGAACACATTACAAATATAATCTACAATTAATGCAATTATAATCTCACACACAGCTTAACTAAAAGGAATCGACTTACACCTCAAATAGTGCATCTGCAGACTTGAATAATGGGAACAGTTCACAGTAGGGTCAGTGATAGCTGAAAGTGTACTGTTTGCATAGCCTACCAAACGTTCTATAAAACTAAACTCTGAAAAGTGATTCAACAGTGCAAACACCTGCAGTTACAATCATCTGACTGTCTTTACCCCACCTGGGTATATTAAACATGATTCTCATTGAATGATTGCAAGCAATATGAAACTTTGCACGTTGCATTGTTTGTAAGATGACTACAGCCAGGCAGCATGGAGCAGTAAGCAATAGAAACCAAACTTGCATACCAATAACGTGTGTGTGTGATCCTCATTCATTTGATCAGTAATCACTTATAAATATTAGGACCAATGTTTGACAGTTTAAGCACTGAAATTTTTAGCATTTTTTCCTGGTCCAAGATAGCACTTGTAACAGCACTATGATATAGTGCACACCATATTCAGTGCATAATCTAGCTCTACCTGGGTTTAAGACCACCAGGTCATCTGCATGAATAAGATGGTTTACTAGTTTTACAGGCTTTTAGCTTCATGGACAGATGCAATATATAAATTAACTTCACCTTGTCCAACAACAAAGAATGCAGAAATACTGCTCCCTTACCTGCATCTTTTAAGAATAAATCCTGGTCCTACAACAATTGGCCATTTTGTTATGCTTACGTCAGTACCATGCTTTGGCTTGAAGCCAAACTAATTATCCAGAATATATACACACTATTAAGCATGATTCTTCTTTCTAGGACCTTCTTTAAAATAGTAGGTAGTATCAGCCAGTACATTTCTTGACAGCTCATTTTCCAGCGTTGTCCCTAATAACTGTAACTATGGTATGGACCACACAAACAGTGAAATACAGCACCAAGAAAGGCTAGCCGTATTTTTTAATGTTCTGCAACAACATGATCCAAACCACATGCAGGCTTTGTTATCAGCTCATTAGTCAATGACTGTATACTTGCTGTGTTGCTACTAAAAGGTACACCACTTTCTCAGTGACCTAGTGACATGAGTGGCTGACCTGAGACTAGGAGAATGGGGCTCAATTCTGATCTGGTCATACCCTGCTTGACACTCATCTGTGTGATGACTATGGAACTTTAACTTTTATACAGATGTACTGTAATGGTGTCTCCATAATGCTGCAATATTATCTGCTCCCAAAAAACACCTTCAGCAGGACATGGCAGAGATAGTTTCACCTCTTTCTAAATTTCTATTTCAGAAAATACAAATAAAATCTAACTAGGGCAATAAGAGGGAGGAAAATGCAAAGATGACCAATAATGAGATAAAACACCAGTAAGAAAATACATATATCAAAATATAAAAAAATATGGGAATGGCCAATAAGTTCAAATGAGAAAATAATGAGAGTGATTACAAAAACATGATGCAAGTTTAACATTTACTGTTTTAGAAAACCAAAGTGTAAGAACATAGGACATAAAATCAGTCTTTATGAAGATGATGTGCTATTTTTCCTCCAGCATTCCTAATCCTCTCTCTCCCAAGCAATTGAATTGATAAACTCTTTTTCAAGTGTTTTAAGTTAGTCGATAAACTGGTTAAAATTTACAGTTCTCCCAATTAAGTTTTTTTCTCAGTTTCCTTAAAACTGGAGTTAGGGAATATTACATACTTCAGCATTAATGTCTCTCCCAGGCTGGTAGATTTAACAAAACTAAACTACATATCACTTTCGACAGTCCTGATATTTGGACATCTCACCCAGGACTGGACATCAGCAACGCGACTCTACCACTGCAGGGCTGCCAGCTTTTGAACTTTTCAAAGCGTGAGGGTGCGATATTGTGCACAAACTGTTGGGGGCACATCAGATAAACTGAAATGCTATCAAAAATGTTTTATCCTCTCTGCAAATTGTGCGTTTGTGCCCCCAAACGCTGACCGTAAGAGCTGGGGGTGTTCATTCTTCAGCGTGAGAGATTGGAGGTGTCACACACCTCAGGTGTGGCGTGAGAGTGTGTCTCATGCTCAATGCTTGAGAGTGGGCAGCCCATTTCAGTCAACCACACTTGGAAGTCGCTACCGATATCACTCATGGGGAGGGTTGTCACAATTAAAATAATGGTTTTACCAAGAATCAATTACGTATTCTCAATAATCCCAAGCAAGCCACCATCTACCAGGTTCAGGTCTCTGGACTCCTTCATCACTAAATTCCTTTGGAAAGACTGGGCTGGGACTGCTCCGGCTGTGGGGGAGACGTCAGGATCTGTTGGGCTTCGATCTCCTCCATCTTCCGTGGGTCTTTGGAGGCAGGTCTGTGGCCCGTCACACTCAATATTGGACATTCCTATAGAGAAACCTTACATACAAAAGCGTGTGTACACACACACACACACAGATGCTCACATGGTGCTCTCACAAGTATGGACTCAGGTGTTTCTGACAGATAACCTAAGGCTGTGGTTGGCACTAAATGCACTATGAATATTTCCGTGTGCTTTTCAGCAAAAATTGCTACTGTTATACATGCTCATGTTGTTGGCACAGCTATATTTCCATTCTGTTGTATTTTTGCATGTCCCCCTTCTCTCTATCAGTCCATTGTACATCCTTTATTGTTTATTTTTGTTAACTTGTTTCCCCTCTTTCCTGTGCCTCCTTTCTTTTTAATGTCTGTTTCCGTTGGGATTTAAAACAACCAGAAGCATTTCTAATAAAGGTTCTATAACGCTCCACCTGTGAGAGTAAAACTGTATGGCTTGTTTTCTGCACGCAGACATCAATTATGATTGCTTTACATTCAGACAGGACATGGGGTAAAAAAAGAAATGTTCAGTAAAACATTTATGTGTTAACTCAGTTTATATTTGTAGGTTAAGTCATCCATGTTTTATGTTTTGCAACATTATTAAAACTGAATGACAGAATTAATTTTGTGGAGTGTTTAAAATCTAAACTAAGAAATCTTGAGGCCAATTCCATGACATGTAATTGTTTCATTCAGATTGCTTCACATTTTTAATGAATTTAGAACTATTTTACTATTTTTAAAATGTACATGTTTGGTGTTTGGTGTGCCAAGAGTTTGGTATAGAATTAGATTAAAAATCCAAAATTCATATATTAAGTAAAGATGAAAGCACATTGTGAAAACACGTTTAATGTTGAAAATATCATCTTCAAACTGGGAAATTGAGTCTCATCCAATATTTAAGGCAATTGCAAAAGTACACTATCTTAGTACCTACCTACCCTTAACGACAATGTCCTGAATGTTGTTGCCTTTTCAAAAATAACAGAAGTAGCCAATGGGAGCAAAGAAAACATTTTTATTCTTATCACTTGTTAAAAACAATAAGGTGGTATTGAGAATTAGAAGAAAAATGAATAAAAGATGCAATAAAGTCCATCGACCTGACAACTATCTAGGTGCCTCTGGAGTGAAGCAAAAAAAAATCACATTGCAGAGAGGATAAACCATTTTTGATAGCATTTCAGTTTATCTGATGTTATAATAAGAAACACAAAAAGTCCTTGAGCAGTTTGGCTAAACCCAAACAGCTCTGGAATGACCAGTGGGATATTTCATGTTTAAATGCAACAATAGATCCTTGTCCAGCAGCGTGTTCAGGAAAATATGTTTACCCAAAGAAACATGAGAACAGTTGTCAGAATTACGCCTGTTGTTGTAGATGTGGCCAATCCTGGACCTGAGCAAGGAGAAACCAGATAATTTTCAGCCATGTGGATGTTCTTTTACACCAGTATGGGACAAATATAGCTTAAAAATAAAAACAAGCCAGTAAAACTATGCCTTACAGTTGTTTTTCGATTCTTAGTTTTCAATTAAAACAAACAAGAGGAAATGCATTTTAAATAAAACATAGACTTTATTTTGACATGATTTAGCAGAAATTAAAAACACCAATGAAGCACAGAAACTATCTCCTTACCATGTGATGTAGTAGGCCTGGAGGTGGATGTAATAACTGCACCGTTAGATGTTGGAGAACTAGTTGATGAAGAAGCTGGGGTGGTAACTTTGCTAGTTGTGGGTGTAGGAGTGGTCGTCTCTGCATTATTGTTTAGTGTTGTGAAGTTCTCTGTGGTTTGAGCAGGAGGGTTGGCGAGGAGGCTGACGGGTCCAGAGCGGACAGTGTATGTTCTGGTAAACACACTTTCAACCAGAGGGAGGGAGGAACTGCTGGTGCCGGTACACAGGTCAGGGCACTTGTCAGAAGGCATGGTGGTAATGCACAGGTTAACCACACATTCAACATACATCTGTGAGTGTAAGGGGACATTTTTCACAGTAAGAAGAAATGTACATTCAAAGTATAAAAATAAAACAAAAGGATGGTGAAAATACCCAAATTTACATTTTTGTTTCCTGTATCTCATATAAACTTACTGATATTTCAGTTTCATTCAAAGTGATTGTTACTTACTTACTGGAAACTAGGCTCAACATTTTTGCATGAATTTCCTCAACAGTACACAGAACTGAGTTTCAGAATCTCACACTGATAATGTGTGTGTGTGTGTGTGTGTGTGTGTGTGTGTGTGTGTGTGTGTGTGTGTGTGTATGTGTGCACAATAACACAAACCGTTGATCCAGAGTTGACCATTTTGTCAATAAAAAGACGAAAAACCTTGGACGTTGTGGTTGTTGTGATCACCTCTAACGTGTCATTGGAAACTATACACCTGAAAAGGAAATTGAGAGAAAAAGCATTTGTTGTTGATGTAATGTGCTTCAAAACAAGAAGGGGTTTATGGAGTATATGTGTTCTTCAACATGAGATGATGTGGCACTGACCCTTGTCTCAAGATAGGTTGGCTGTTAGCAAAGTCCTCCGTCTCAGACTCTATACAACTGCTCACTACCAACTCAGCTCGATCAACGCTGCAGTTGGACACCACGTAGAGGTCCAGCTGTTTGAGCTTGTCTCCAATCGTGATGTCAGTGGTGGTGTTGCTGCCTGTTCCTACAACCACCTGCCGACGGGCTCTTCCCAGTGGCAGAAAGTTGGAGCGAAACTGGGGCGTGGATGTGAATCTGGCCAGGGGCCCCTGCCCCGGGAGGTGAAATTCTATCCAAAAACGGATGTCGCCAAAGGTCTCTCTCTCTGTTGGTATGCTAATGGCTAAGTGTGGTCCCTTAACCTGGACCGCTCGGATTCGACAAGCCATGGGGAGGATGAGGGAAGGTCTGCGGCTGATCATGGTGTAGGGACGCACACTCTTCAGAGTGTTGGTGTAAACCAGCTCCGAACCAGAGTGCTGGGGAAATTAAAATAAATAACAAAAAATTGTGAGAAATTAGACTGTGGGTAGTTTGTCATGTGTTTTATAAATTTAGGATGAATGTATCCAGTGTGTTTAAACATGATGTTTTAGACTGTAACTAATAATTTTAAAAAGTAACTCACTTTGTAGAGCATGTGAGGCAGAACTGATGTGTTTGTGTGTCCAATTGTCTAAAGAGGTATTAAATATGAATAACTGGACCGATTTTAATGAATCAGTCTGAAAGTAATCATCACGTGTACGTCTAGCATTGACTAAGATTTTGAATTAACCCAATTCAAGAAGGCTGCCACAGTCAATTGAATAGTCTGCAAATGTTTCTAACTCAGTCAATTATACAGATGCTTCTAGCATGCTAAATGTTAGCATGCTAGAAGCCGAGTCATCCGTACCGTATTAGAAGACGAATATTTTTTTAACATATTATGGCATCTTTCATATTAAAAATCACTGCTTCACATTACAGACGAGGGGCAACCCTGTCAGTTCATTGGCAGATATATTTGAATGAAACTCGGTTAATGTAAATCTTCAAATGGTCTACTGTTGGTTTCTGTCTGATTTAAGATGGCTGCCAGAACTACCCAAATATAGCAATCACAAAAAAAGGCTTTAACTCAGTTTCACCAATTTTCAGCTAAAATGTTGTGTTTGTTGATGGGGGTCATGAAACACACTCAGAATGCCAATCATATGAGGTGGCACATTACAACGATTTCAAAATTTGACACATTTGGCTAAAACTCAATAATTCCACAACATTGGACGATCCGAATCTGGTAATTCCTACACATTCCTTCCTGTAAGATGCCTTTGATTATCTGGTACATTTTCTGTTGGTGTCTGGCCAGTCAAAGAAAAATTGGTATGTATGTGTGAAAGTTCCCCAATGAGGGGAAATAAAGGGATTTTCTATTTTATGCTAATTAGTTATGGTTGGTAAAGTATGCTTCTGGTGGAAAGAACGACTAAAACTAAAGGAGTATTTTACCACAGCCCTTGTGCCACAGCTGCCGAAGGAGATGTGTGCCGTCAGGTATGTGCTGTTGTAGGTGACGGAACAGGTGGGGCTGTTGAGCTGCAGTTCAGGCAGGCTGATTTCAGTAAGGGAGGCCACCGGGAGCACCAGCACCATCTCCGTCTCCCCACATGTCAGCTCTACAAGCAGAAGATTCTTCAGGAGTTTAAACACCCGCAAGTTTAACACACTCTTCACATGACATCACAAATGTATTTACTCAGTGTATTTACTAAACCTGTTCCAGCAGGAAGAGTCTTCATTCTCTCTGTAAGGATTTAAAAAAGCTATTTTTATAAGAACCATGTCAGAGAGGAGGAGTAGTTCACCATGTTCTAGCAGAACATTGTTTTTTTATGTTTATAGGAAGCAGGACGACTTACTCTGGAACAGCCACACACACCGCAGCTCCGACTGCAAACTGGAAAGACAAGAAAAACAGATCACACCAAACCCAGGTGCTTTATGTGCCAGTGTGACTGGTACTGCAATAGGATACAAAAATAAACAATTTTGTAATGAAAACATGATTTATGTCCACAGAGACTCACCACACAGGCAAAAATAAGTAAATATGAACATTTTTTATTGTAGCATCTTGGTGATTCTGCCTGTTTGATGCAAACTTTCAAAGTTGCATTTAGTAAATCTATTTTTTTAACATTTCTGGTGACAAAGCATAAAACAAATGTCATTAAACTTTTGAAGTTTATTTTATTTCATTGCTTAATTTCACTCAATCTCTTGTTAAAATAAGCTTCTATAATCCAGCTCTTTAAACGTTTTCCCTTTCAGACATGCATCGATAATCTGCAGACACTTTTGACATTTATACAGTTATAATTAGATGGTAGATTTGTTCAACATCCAGGCCATGTTGTGGGCATACTCAGTATTTGTGGTGTCAAAGTTGTTTCTGTGTTTTGTTGAGCTCACTAAATATCAAGTGTCATGAAGGAATAACAAACCTGTTGGTGTTTGCAACAAAACAGATGGGCAATAGTCGTGTCAGGTTGTTTTCGGAGCGGATCCAGGCCATGGTCAACGTCGCTGAGTGGCCGACTGATGCAAAGTTGACCCTGTACAGGTCTGGCGGGCCGACCACTGCTATCTCCAAAACACTGAAATCATAGAGAGAAAGCTTTAGCTTTCATTTAAGTACCTGCTGTGTTCCCTTCTAAGAAACCAAAAGCTTGTTTTAATGTCTGTAGGGTAAAGATATACTGTAGAGGGTGCACGTTGGTTTAATGGGCGCTCAGCAGTAATGTTCTACTTTAGTTGATGCAAATGAAGCCCTGAAGCTCCATCAGCATGCTTTTCAGTGAAGTGGCAGTCCACAACTAGGTAGATGGTTATATATCGCGTCAGACCCGTGCCACAACCCGCGCACGCGCATTGGGTCCACAGCGCGCGTGTGAACGGGACTCGCGAGCGAAAATATACATGGCGAGAGGTCATTTGTGCACTGAGAGGGAGCAAACTGTGTCTGTGAGCGCACAAGGATGTGCACAAGTGACAAACCTGCGTGCGCGCGTTGCCAACGAGCACACGGCAGAGGAAAACGTGCGCGCGCGACAGCCTCTCTGCGCGCTCGGCAGCCTCTGCGCGCTCGGTTTCTAATTCCGCTCGCTCGGCTGTGAGGAGTTTTGGCACTCTGGAGGCGTGGCCTGTGGCAGATCTTCCCTGTCCTCTGATTGGTTAGTTTACCCCGCACTTTACTCTCTACCTATCTATATAAAAAAATCTGAGATTCAGCAGTTGCTGTCATAGCTCATCTGGGAGAGCGGGCGACTCTCACTCCAGAGGATCTAGGTTCGAGTCAGGCCAAGGAACATAAAGTTGATGTCATAATATTCTTTCCTAATTCCTGTGATATTATTTTACAGTTGTGACCGTTCAACTGTCAATAAACGTCCGAATGTTTGCTGGGCAGTGTTTTAAAAAGTGCACATAAGCTAGATGGTTTTAACCAGGTAAAAATAGACTTGTGGGTGTAGGTATGTTCAAGTTTAAAAAGTTCTTGCCTCATTAATGTATTGTTTATTTTTTTCAGCATTTAATTGACAAATTATCCTTTCAAATAATTAATTGATGAGTTACATAATTGTCCATTTAGAATTGTTGAATGGACTGAGTCAAGTTTGGTGCACTTTATATATTTCAAAACATGTTTTTTTTAAATTATGCATATAAATAATTTTAATGTTAATTTATTGAAATATTTCTATTTTTTCATTACCTCACCCTTGTTTTGACAAAAACAAGACCTTGCTGGATAATATCACGGAGAAACTATTTGTTCACAGTACTTGGCTCAGTGAGGATCTGTGTACCAAATGAGGAGATACTCAGAAATCTGTCTGCAGATTGTTACAACCCAGACTGGAAGTGGTGGGCTGTAATAAGAAAGGAGACCAAACAGAGGAGTGGGGGGTTCAACATCTGATTTATTTAACCAAAGTTTAGTAAATCATTACTTTGGTTAAATAAATCAGTTGTTGAACCCCCACTGCTGAATCTCAGATTTTTTTATATAGATAGGTAGAGAGTAAAGTGCGGGGTAAACTAACCAATCAGAGGACAGGGAAGATCTGCCACAGGCCACGCCTCCAGAGTGCCAAAACTCCTCACAGCCGAGCGAGCGGAATTAGAAACCGAGCGCACAGAGGCTTCCGAGCGCGCAGAGAGGCTGCCGCTCGCGCACGTTTTCCTCTGCCGTGTGCTCGTTGGCAACGCGCGCACGCAGGTTTGTCACTTGTGCACATCCTTGTGCGCTCACAGACACAGTTTGCTCCCTCTCAGTGCACAAATGACCTCTCGCCATGTATATTTTCGCTCGCGAGTCCCGTTCACGCGCGCGCTGCCATGTATATTTTCGCTCGCGAGTCCCGTTCACACGCGCGCTGTGGACCCAATGCGCGTGCACGGGTTGTGGCACGCTTTAAACGCCATACACACGCAGGTTTGTCACATGTGCACATCCTTGTGCACTCACAGACACAGTTTGCTCCCTCTCAGTGCACAAATCACTTCTCGCCATGTATATTTCCGCTCGCGAGTCCCGTTCACACGCGCGCTGCCATGTATATTTGCGCTCGCGAGTCCCGTTCACACGCGCGCTGTGGACCCAATGCGCGTGCACGGGTTGTGGCACGCTTTAAACGCCATAGTTATAAACCAAAACCATCACATCTTGCATAAATCACACTTTGGACACATCTTAGCCTCCACAAAGGGTGTGTGCAAACAAAAGTTACATACTGTTTTTGAATATAGTTCGATTACAAAAGAGTCTGGAATCTCAGCATTAGAGATCTTTGCATGAGAAACACGGACTCTCATTCTCAGAGGTTCCCGAAGGTTTTAGCTGCTGATCCACAAGATTAAATGAAATTGCATCTGGCTGAACTGTGTAATTGGCTTGGCTACCTGTTAAATTCAGAATAGATTTTAAAATCCTCCTTCTCACATATAAAGCTCTTAATAATCAAGCTCCATCATACATCAGTGACCTGATTGTTCCATATGTTCCTAACCGAGCACTTCGCTCTCAGACTGCAGGTCTACTGGTGGTTCCAAGAATATCTAAACTTAGGATGGGAGGCAGATCTTTTAGCTATCAGGCTCCTCTTTTGCGGAACCAGCTCACAGCTTTAGTCCGTGAGGCAAGCACCTTGTCTACTTTTAAGACTAAGCTTAAAACATTTTTATTTGATAGGGCCTATGGTTAAAATCTGATGTTAGCCTAGATCTGGACAAGTGGGGGAGTAGAGGGAGGTGGAGTGTACAGTCGGTAAAGATGGCTCTCCCTTGCCCTGCCTCTAACTTGCCTCCATCTAAAAGGCTAGGTTATCCAGAGTTATCTCTGTAGTTATGCTGCTATAGGCTTAGACTGCTGGAGGATACACTGACCACTTTCCACACTCTACTACTTTCTTCAACATTTTGCTCTTAAACTGTATTATTTCCTGTTATTTCAGCTGTTAACTTTATTTTTTCTCCAAGTGTTTTTCTACCCAGATGCTACAATGATGTTCTGCTGAACTGTGGTGGTCTCATGGAAGCCATCGGCTTGAACACTGCTACTAACCACTTAAACATTCTCCCTTTCCTGATAACATTTTACTTTCCTTGACATTGAATGTGCTAGTGCTAGTTTACCCGTTTAATTATAGATTCACTAGGAAAAATACAATAGTTTATCTCTCACCAAATAGAATATTTACTAAGAAGTCACAATGTAACCACAGAAACATTACTTGGTATATATGTTGTGTGTGTGGATGTGGGTGGGTTGGTGTTGGTGTATGCGTGTTACTGCAACGTCTTCTCGATCCCCAGTGAGTCATGGTGGATGGCTGCTTATACTGAGCCAGGATCCTCTGGAGGTTTCTTCCTGTTAAAAGGGAGTCTTCTTCTCCACTGTTGCTAAATGCTTGCTTAGTAAGAGAATTGCTGTAAAGTCACCAGTCAGTGACTTGATGCAATTTGCTGGGTTCCTTATATAGGAAACTTTTTACTGATTGGCTTAATGAACTGACCTGTATTGGAATGTTTACTATGTGAAGTGCCTTGAGACGACGCTTGTCGTGATTTGGCGCTATATAAATAAACTTGAATTGAATTGAACATTGCAAAATATCTAAAGGAATCAGGATTTAATAATTCTTCTAATGCAACTTATATTTATGTATGTTTTTAGTTTTTGAAATATTTATGGTAAAAAAGGTTGTTAGGAATAATTTTGAGTTTCAGAGCAGTGGTGTCCAACCCTGGTCCCAGAGGACCATTATCCATCTTCAGCACTCCTGACTTGCAGGCTCCTGCTGAGTTTGATGACCTACTGAAAGGGTGATTTAACCACTGAAGCAGGTGTGTTGGAGCAGGAAAACTAAAACACTAACCTCGAGAATCAGGATAGGGCACATCTACGTATCTTTTCAGTCTCATGACTGAGAGTGAAGTCATACCCTTGCCCTTGGGAGCCACTGATCAACAGCGTAACAATCCTAACAAATCAAATCAAAGACAATGGGAATTTTTGTGTTTTTGGAAGAAGTTTTTACTTCTCATCTAAGGAAAAAACTCCAAATATTTCTCCAAAGAGCTCTGTTTTTAATCTGTTACCCGTGTTGCACGCACATGTCATTTTTTTCTTCTTCTGCACAACAGCATGAGTAGGCAAAGGGTAAGCTAAACTTACAGCTTTCAGTTTTGTTGGACATAATCTGGTTACTAATCACAGCTTTGAAATAATTTATTAGCTAGAACACAGATGGAAAAAGTTAGAAAACTTTGAGTTTTGTTTGAACAGACAAGTTTCAATATAGGAATATTTGTCCCAGTCAACATTTAGTCATGACTTAGCATTGCATTTTTCAATAGCTTTATATCTGAAAACTGCAGAAAAATCCTCTAAAACTGTCCAGAGCCAACAGAGACGGTTGATTCAGTTAAGAATCATTTGCTTTTACATCTAAAATGTGCAGCAAAACACAATCAGACTGGCCACGAGATGCTACTGCACATCTAAGTGTCAAATAAGATGAGATGTGAGATCTTCTCTTTACAGATATTATGTGAACTCTGTGTAAAAAGTCATAGTTTCTGATTAATGACACACCTCTCCAGGTCTGAATTATAGGTTGTACTGAATTTCACCTCCTGGTACGGCAAGGCATACAGCACAGCGTTCTTCTCAGGGGTTCCTCGTGTTGCCGGTGGTTCGTTACTGCAGCTAGACGTCCACTCTTCCACTAAAGGACAAAAGAGATGCTTCTGAAACTATCAGGGTAGTCTTTTAAATCAGGTCAATTTACAAATAAAAACATATTTAAGCAATTTGAGATTTGCCATTCTAACATGATTTAGAGAAGATGAAGATTGAAACAAAAATAATATAAATGCTATAACTACTGAGCTTCAAAGCTGCATAGTTGTGCTTCTACACATGGGCTGTTTAGAAGAATTGCTGGGAAAGCCTTTCATGTCTCAAAAAATCTCCACAATAGCTCAGCTTAGGATTTCAAAGTTGTATGTGTACAAACCAGAAGATTTGTGAAGCATGTTGGCAGATGAGACCATAGATGAAATGCATGACTAAAACAGAGCTGTGCATTCAAACTCACCAAATCAGCACTTTAGACTCATGGGGGTGGGGCTTGCTTTGCAGCTTTATATTTTTCTTTAAACCAAAGTAAACTAGAGTAAAATGTGAATTCACCTGTCTAATAGCTGAAGACTAAACTAAACTGGTTCAAAACGTATGATACAATCGCATTATGTCCTGCCTTTTCAGCTTTTAACTTTATTTTTTTAATTTTTTTCTCCTCAGAAGAAGTTGCAATGGTTTTCTGCTGAGCTTTTCCATTACCACTTAACATTCTCCGTCTCCCGATAATAACATTTTACTCTCTTTGACATTGAATGTGCTACTACTAGTTCACCTGTTGAATTAATTATAGATTCACTAAGATATTAAAGTTTACCTTTTACTAAAGAGAATATATACTGAGAAATCACAATGTAGGCATAGAAACACTACTTGGTGAAAATGGCGGATGGCTGCTTAAGCCTAATTTATACTTCTCCGTCAACTCCACAAGGGAGAGACACGCATGCACACACGCACGGACAAAGACGTTTTGCTCTCATACTTCTCCGTCTCCTGGAGAGTGTTGCAAAGCAATTCCCCGCCAGGACAACAGAGGGCGTAGCGCTGTTCTGTGGTATCCTGTCATGTATCCGGTTCAAGATGTTTTCTATTTTGTTTTTTGTATTTAAGAGACTTTTTAACACAGACAAATTTGTCCCTCATTCTCCTCCACCTTTTCATGCGCTCGCCACCTATAAACCCACGTTTCCCGTCATTTCCGTCCATGAATGAAACACTTGCTGTGCATCGTTTCACTACTCCAGTCACGGGGTAATAAAATGTTCATATATTTTTTTTTTCAGCGAGGTATTCTTAAAGCTGCTTCGTGTCTGCCGCTAGATATCGTTGGCTCTCCTTAGGATTTTGAGGGAGCAATGGCGGTGCTGTAGAAGACAGCGGCATCCTGACCAATCACAAGCTTGCGTTCTCTGTCTCGCTGGATGTTTAGAAAAGAGAGCTCAACTCCGTCTGTCCTTGCGAGGGCTCTCCAGCAGGCTCGCATGGACGTATAAAAGCGTTGCGAGTCTCCATCCCGATGCAGACGGAGATGTATAAATTAGGGTTTATACTGAGCCAGGATTCTAGCTAGTTTGTATTTTTAGACCTCTGTGTGTGATTTTTGCTGTTTTTAACTCGATTTCTTTGTTACTGTTTTATTGCTGTTAAGTGTCCATGTGTCCCCTGAAAGACGCTTTTAAATAGATTACATTATTGGGTTTCTTCCTGCTAAAAGGGAGGTTTCCTCTCCACTGTCACTACATTCTTGCTTAGTATTAGGATTGCTGTAAAGACACTGAAACCAGTCAGTGACTTGATGTAATCTGCTGGGTTCCTTACACAGGAAACTTTTCACTGAAATGAACTTTGTGAAGTGCCTTGAGACGACTCTTGTCATGATTAGGAGCTATATAAAACAATTTAGGAAAATAGATATTTAATTTGGAGCTAAATATTTTGTTTATAAACTAAATATAGCTCCAAATTAATAATTTAGTTAGTAAATTAAATGTTTATTTTACAAACTAAATATTTTTTGTCTGACCAAAATATTTAGTTTGCATGATAATTGTTTACCTCTAAATTAAATATTTAGCTTGTTAACTAAATATTTATTTGGGATCTTTACCATTTATAAATGTATTATAACATGGTGAAAATATGACTTTGAAAAATAAACTCCCATTTTTTATGATAAGCTAACCCAAAAACCTTGCTGTTAAGTTATGACTGTTTGACTTTACAAATGGCACCTCATAGAGCTGTACACAAAAACACATCTAAAAGGCCAGAATATTGTTTAATAGAGATGTAATTAATTTTTTAACCACAGCATCAGTTGGTTCACAAAGTTTTATGCAACTAGACCCAGCTTCTGTCAAATAAACAATAACACATTATTTGATGTGTGGGTGGTCATCTGATGTTCTCATGGCTCAGCAACTTTGTCACAACTGTATGTGAACAAGAGACTCACCACTGAGAGAGAGGTGCACGGGGACAGAGCTGAGGGGAGAGATGTCTTGAACCCGGCTTATGGTGGGTACAGGGATCAGGTCTTCTGCCATCAGGAAGATAAAATACTGTCCCGGAACCGCGTTTCCCGTGTATGATAGAACGCAATTCTCCTGGTGAGGAATGTGAGCAGAACAGGTCAATGAGGGAATATTTTCAGTAAATAAGACTCAAAGGCTGAATAAGACAATAAAAAAGTAAAAGCACATTTTAAATGCTGTCAGGAGAAACTAAACAGTGAATTTAGTAAAAAAAAATCATATTAATTAATTTATGCATTTACAGTACAGGTGAAACACAAAAAATCTGAATATAGTGGAAAAGTTAATTTATTTCAGTAATTCAACTTAAAAGGTCAAACAGAAAAACAAGATAGACTCATTACATACAACGCCAGATACTTCAAGCCTTTATTTATTATAGTTGGGATGATTATGGCTTACAGCTCATAGAAACCCTAAATTGAAAACCTCAAACAATTAGATTAAAGGTTCAATATTATAGATTAGGGCTGCTCGATTATTATAAACATTGTATTTGCCTTTCAGCCATTGTTAAATTTAGTTTAGCAGCAAATCAATTTGGTTGAATTGAGCAAAACATATGTTAGAATCCAGGTCAGCCCTGTTATGGGTCATTGTTGTTATTATTGTGTAATGATTATTTGACAGCTTTTTAAACGACTAAACTGTGTGTTTCTCTAAACAGGCAAGTATATGGTTTGTTTTTCTTATAATTTGATGGGTTAATAGTGTGTTTTGTTAAATACCAAATATGTGATCTGCTGTGGTCTAAAGTGAGCTAGTTTAAATGTTTAGTTTTCTCTAAACTGATCATATTTTCTGTTTAGAGAATACATAAATTATTATGCTATAGACAGGAGAGGAGACAGATGAAATGATGGCACAACGAAAAACATGGTAGGCAGAGCTGGAGGTGGTAGGGCAGATTTTTATTGGGAGTGACTAAAATGGATAGAATTTGAAATGAGTACATCAGAAGAAGCGGTTTGGAAGCAAAGTTAGAGAAGCAAGACTGAGACAGTTTGGACATTTGCAGGGGAGGAAGACTCAAAAGTGTCACACTCTAATCAGCCAATGAATCCAGAACACCTCCAAAGGGTTCCTGAGCCCTTAGATCAGGGGTGGGCAATTATTTTTTCCATGGGGCCACATGAGAAACAGAAAATATTGTGGAGGGCCAGGCCAAAAGGCTGAAGTCAATTATGCATAATATTAATGGTATTTCTTTATAAAAAGCAGTAAATACCATTGTTTTTTCAAGCTGGTAAGAGTAGACTATATGTTATAAATGAGCAAAAAGGAAAAAGTGAGGTTGGCTTACAAAAATGTGATTTATTCAAATTTCCCAAGGCAATGATAAACAAAGTGTGCACATTTGGTTTTTGTTAAACATTTGTGACTTATATTAGTTAACAGTTTCAGTCACATTCACTCCAAAACACATTTTGAGTTTCAAATATTGTTGGAAAGAGGTTCTTAGCATTCTACAGACACACAGTATTGTCTGTAAAATAAAATCACTGAACTGTGATCTTGAGAAAGAGGTTTCAAATAAAAGTGTCCCAGTTCACTGCTAGTTGCCTACATTTTTGGTCCTAACACCTTATTTTGTGTTTTTAAGCGATTTTTTTCTTATTCAGTGAGAGAAATCTAGTCTCTGCTGGGCTTTAACGAGTGCATCAAAGTCAGGTTGGATGTCTGAGGTGGAGATGCGAAGCACAGCTGACAAATGATCATCAGTGAGAGAGGATCTATACCTGGATTTTATAAACTTCATCATTGAAAATGTTTGTTCACAAATGTAGGTAGAGCCGAAGAAAACCAACATCTTCTGAGCATGTCTCCTCAGGTTTGGAAAGTTCTCCTTAAGAGAAGAGTAGAAATCCAGCAGAGATCCTGACTTAAAGTGCTCTGCCAGTACTGCATCAGACTGCAGGTCAATGAGTTCCAGCTGCCCATCACTTGGTGCATTATCCACACTGCAGGTAAAGGGAGAGGAAATCATGTGCATTTCATCCTCGATTGTTCTGAGATCTTCAAAACCCCTTGAAAACTCACCATGTAATGCTCCTAACATGGATGAGTACCTGCTGAGGTGATCAGCTGATGGTGTGACTTCGTTCAGGGTTTGCATGTGAGTGAGAGTGTTGCTCTCCAGTTGACTTGAAAGAAACTGCAGCTTTCTCATGAAGGCCTTCACGAGGCTGTGCATTTCATGAACAAAAAGGTCCTTGCCTTGCAGTTTGGTGTTCAGTTCATTCATCGGTGCAGTCACATCAACAGCAAATGCAAAATCTGCCATCCAGTCCTCATCTGAGAGCTCTGGAATGTCTTTGCCTTTCCTCTCGCAAAACTCTTGAATCTCTGCTTTCAAGTCCCAAACCCTCTTCAGCACTTTCCCCAGGCTGAGCCATCTGACAGCTGTGTGGAGTCCTCCAAAAGAGCCACAAACTGTGATTCATTGCCCGGCCCTGATGAAGTTTATTATTTTAGTAACAACATCAGTAACATGGTTGATTTTTAGCACTGACTTGCACAACACATGTTGGTGTATAATACAATGCAAAAACACCAATTTTTGATCTGCATCGATTTCTGTCACTTTATCTTGCATGTGTTTCAAAAGTCCGAAATTTTCCCTGTAAGATTTGGACAACCGTCTGTTGTGACATCTGACAGTCTCTCCCATTTAAATCCCAGAGTGTCCATGCACACATTTACCTCTGTAAAAAGATCACTCCCTGTCGTTGTCCCTTTCATCGACCGCATTGCTGCCAGCTCCTCTGTGAAATTGAAGTCCGTTATCCCCCGGACAAATACGAGCAGCTGGGCTGTGTCGCGGACATCACAGCTCTCGTCTAAGGCCAATGAGAAAAAGTCAAAACTTGCCACTTCACGTTGCAGCTGAAGCTCCAGGTTCCCAATGTCCTCAGTCCTCCTGGTCACCGTTCACCTGGACAGCGGAATTTGCTCAAATGCGCCTTTTTTTCAGGGCATATTAGTGCGGCAGAGTGCACCATGCACTCTCTGACAAACTCTCGCTCCGAAAACGGCTTGCTGTTTTTAGCTATTTTGTGGGACATCACAAAGCTGGTCCTGGTTGCTGCATCCCTGGATGTGTGAAGCTTAGTAAAAAAGCCTTGCTGCTTTTGCAACTTTGCTAGCAAAGCTTCGGATGTCCGTGCCCTCTCAGCATCAGACAAGTTCTTGTATTTTTCTGAGTGTTTCTTGTCGTAATGCCGACTCAAATTGTAGTCCTTAAACATGGCAATCTCCCCGCAAACCAAACACACGGCTTTACCTCTGACTTTGTAAAAAAAGTACTTAGCAGTCCAATTTTTGTTGAAAATCCTGCATTCGGCATCTATCTTTCTTTTTTTTGCATGAGCGGACATTTCTGGGGGCTACAATCACCATGTCAACCGCGGGCACTTGTTGCTATACGTATTGCGTCATTGTGCACGTAAAAAACAACTTCAAAATAAAAGCAATGCAGCCTTAGTCCATGCATGAGGTAAAATGAGAAAATACATTTATTTTGTAATTTCCAATTAACCTTACGCGGGCCAGTCAAAGTCAACCAAAGGGCCGTATGTGGCCCGCGGGCCGTAAAATGCCCAGGTTTGCCTTAGATGGTCTCTCAGTCTAAACTGGATTACTGAAATAAATGGACTTTTTCATCATATTCTGATTTTTTCCAGTTTCACATGTAAGCAATTTACAGCCACTGGAGGAATGTGTGATGCAGGCTGCAGATGAATCAGCATTAATTAACACCTTTGCTCCTTTATTCTTAAGAGAAAATACATCTTACTGCAAAACGAGAGAAAATCTGAAAACAGGCCCTGCCAGCACCAGTTCTGTATTCTGATGACGTGTGAGATGATAATTTGCTATTTGAAGAAGCTCTTTATTTATTTGATCCATGCATCTGCAATGCATGTTTTTCTATTTGCAAATCCCAGTTGTGTAAAAACAACAAAGAAGCATAGAGCTGCAACATGATTTTACATGGTATAAAATGAAGTTTACTTGTATAGCACTTTTAAAGATAAAAGTCACAAGGTGCTGTTGGAATAGGCAGTGCATTTTTGTCCACTCAGAGGAGGCACGTTTTGTTCTTCATTTGAGGTTTTCTCCTTTACTTTCTCCTGTGTTTCTACTTCACTGCACCAGTTTTAGGTTTTATCTTCGCATCATTCCTACTCACCAGCTCCTCCCCTTGTCACCGGACACCGGTCCGAGACAGACTCAAGTTAGATTTTTCTGCTTTAAAAAAAGTTTTTCTTCAAAATGTAACTAATATTCATCCCATAATTCTCCCTTTAATCAACATAAGCTAACTCCTTTTGCTTAAATGAATGTTTTTTTTGTTTATGAAAGGCTGGTGTTTAGAGTTACCTCATCCAGTTTTATGAAAGCATGCTGAGTACCGTTCTGACATTCTCCCCTGTCTGCGCGGGCAAAGCGGCATCGCACCCTGTCCCCGTCCAGGTCTTTCACTGACAGACTGAAGTCAACAGGACAGTTCTGACGGGCCCTGGTCCAACAGCAGAGCAAACAAAATTACTGTTAAACTTAAATGCTCTGTTTTCCCAAGAAATCACTATATATATATATGTATATATATATATATATATATATATATATATATATATATATATATATATATATATATATATATATATACATATATATATATATATATATATATGTATATATATATATATATATATGTATATATATATATATATGTATATATATATATATATATATATATACATATATATATATATATATATGTATATATATATATATATATATATATATATATATATACATATATATATATATATATGTATATATATATATATATATATATGTATATATATATATATATATATACATATATATATATATATGTATATATATATATATGTATATATATATATATATATATACATATATATATATATATATATATATATATATATATATATATATATATACATATATATATATATATATATATATATATATATATATATGTATATATATATATATATATATATATATATATATATATATATATATATATATATACATATATATATATATATGTATATATATATATATATATGTATATATATATATATATATATATATATATATATATATATACATATATATATATATATATATATATATATGTATGTATATATATATGTATGTATATATATATATATATATATATATATATATATATACATACATACAAATACACACACTCACACACACACACACTGAACAAAAATATAAACGCAACACTTTTGCTTTTTCTCCCATTTCTCACGAGCTGAACTTAAACACCTTAAACCTTGTCTACATGCGCGAAAACACCCATGACTCTCAAATATTGTTCTGAAATCTGTCTACATGTGTGTTAGTGAGCACTTTTTCTTTACCAAGATAATCCATCCCACCCCACAGGCGTGGCATACCAAGGGGCTGATTAGGCAGCATGAATGATGTACAGGTGTGCCTTAGACTGCCCACAATAAAAGACCACCATGCGCAGTTTGATCAAAAGAAAAAGTTTCAGGTGTTTTAAGTTCAGCTCATGAAAAATGGGAGCAAAAACAAAATTATTGCGTTTTTATTTTTGAGTGTATATATTTAATGTATAAGCTTATAACCTAGTGAAAGGTAGTACATTCTTTAAATCCTTATGTTACTCAAGAAATAGAGATGTAAGTATGTTTGTGCACGTTTGTGTGTGTGTGTTACCTTAGTGGAGGAGGCAGAGCCACATAGGCAGGTTGGTTGAGTTTCCCATTATTAGCCCGGGTCTTTGGTACTGCATTTATAGATACAAAAAACTGCGTGCTGGGCCTGCAAAGAAAAGAAGAGGTGTTTGTTTAAAACTGAATTGTGTTTCATTTGAGATTATCTAGGTAAAAATGAAAATATGGGTCTTGGAAGACAATATTTTAATCTTCTGGTCATCTGCAGGTTCTGGTATTTAGAAAAATAGATATTCACAGAATAAAAACAAAGAAATCAAGAAGCAATGTGTGAAAACTTAAGTGCATCATTTTAGGATTTATGATGTTTCTTTTGATGTCATTGTGAAGAAAACCTGGATTGGGTAAACTTTCCAAACCAGCCATTGCTGGTTCAGCCTTCTGTTGTAACTGGGTCGAATCTGTGAAGGAGCTCTTGGACTTCCCTCAGAGTCGTGCACCAGCTGGTACTTCATCAAGTAAAATGACAGATTCCTGTTTGTTTTGAAGCTCTCTTCTGCATGAACACCTGGATGCTTCAGAGTTTTTAGCTCTTGCTTAAAGTACACCTGCTCAGAAGCATCTGATTATATTTATGAAATAAAATACGGAACTGTTTTTGTCCTATTATGCACAACTTTAGAAGTATCTAACTGCATCTTAAAGGCTTTAGTGTGTTTTTTCCAAATTAACTGTTAAACGTTTTGTGCGTTTCTGCAGATCAGCTCAAAACCACTCTAATAACAACACTCAATGTCAGTGGACTGTTTTACATTCCAGTGTGATCTGCTGCAGGTTTAGAGAATACTTGATACAATAAGTGTAGGTCTCTTACCCTAAAGCGAGGAGGGCTTTGTAGTCACTGGGGACTGTCTTCTGCCACTGACGGACACACCACTGAGGACTGGGTTTGGTGTAGATGAATGGTAATGACATGAGGTGAGCCTGACAGTCCTCTCCTGCTGCACAGACTGATGATAAGTCGGGACAGGGAGTAGGAGCGATGACGCTAAAATGAGCCCGAACCTGCAAAAAGGAAAAAACAGGGATACCGTCTTTTACCTGCAAATATTCCTGAAACAAAACACACAGTTGTACTCACCGTTTTACCTCCATCAGTGTCCAAAGGCGCAATCTGGACGGTGAGCCCCAGAGAGGAGGCCCTGGAGGCCCGACTCAGGAGAAGAAGAGTCAGAACCTGCAGCAGGACTCTGTCCAGCATCTCAGCTCATCAGCCAGACAAGGAGACTGGACCTCAGGGACAATCAAATGACCATAAAGCTCAGCTATGTCCCAGGTCATATGGAACACAAAGGGAAGGGAATAACCACGGGTGAGCACCGGGGGTAAAACTCTAACCATAAAACAGGAACTGCAGGAGTGTGGTAAACACACAAATAAATGTTCTCTGAACAGTGCAGCACCTGAACTGATTTCATTAGCTAAGGCAAAGAAAAGCAACTCAATGTGAAATTACAGTTTTTCATTATAAAATGTATTAATTGTCTAATAAAATATGATAAATATCTAACATTTAATTGATTCAATAAACAGAATTTGCTTTGAGTTTTCTCAGATTTTTTAGAAACCTTTTACTTGAATAAGGTCTGACCGAGTTGATTGCTTTTTAGTATCATAGCCATAATGACTAGAGGCTTGTCATTTATGAATAAAATCAAATTTTATGTAAAAATGTATGTAGGGACTAATACTGTTTTAATATAATTTTACAGCTGCAATAACCGATCACTTTAGTTTAAATGATAAAGATATTTGACAGAGCTTTGACAGTTCAGCTGTGATAAGTGAAGATCAAAGGTGCTTAAATCTGAACTTGTTATAAAAAGATTCAAGTCTTCAGAAATAAAATTGTTTCAAACACGATTAGTCACGAAGTAAATCTGCTCCAGTAAAAACTCCACATTATTTCAAGAGGAAAGGGTAATTTAAGAAAATCACATATCTGGATTCATTTCCCTAAATCACTACAATAAATGTCTTATTTTTCTGAATGTATTTAAAAAAAATCAAGTGTCACTAAAATCGAAGTCAAGTTTGACTTTGTGCCATCATCAAACCTCATCAGTACAGCTACACCAGTTTCTTATTGTAAACAGAACCAAAACAGAACATATGACATAAAACATATTCACCTTTAGTTACTGGTCTCCCTCGCTTTAAGTCCAATTTAATTAGAGAACGAGTTGTTCCTTTGTAACTGGAAGTTAAAGGCGCTGCTCAGCATTGCAGAATGGAGTTTAACTGGCTGAACCAGAGGTTGTTCTAAAAGCACAATAGCTGTACGACAAAGAGGACAGCTTCGACAAGAGCCGTTTCCTGTATTTATTTACAAAATACAGGGAGTGCAGAATTATTAGGCAAGTTGTATTTTTGAGGAATAATTTTATTATTCAACAACAACCATGTTCTCAGTGAACCCAAACAGCTCATTAATATCAAAGCTGAATGTTTTTGGAAGTAGTTTGTAGTTTGAGCTATTTTAGGGGGATATCTGTGTGTGCAGGTGACTATTACTGTGCATAATTATTAGGCAACAAAAAACAAATATATACCCATTGCAATTATTTATTTTTACCAGTGAAACCAATATAACATCTCCACATTCACAAATATACATTTCAGACATTCAAAAACAATACAAAAACAAATCAGCGACCAATATAGCCACCTTTCTTTGCAAGGCCACTCAAAAGCCTGCCATCCATGGATTCTGTCAGTGTTTTGATCTGTTCACCATCAACATTGCGTGCAGCAGCAACCACAGCCTCCCAGACACGGTTCAGAGAGGTGTACCGTTTTCCCTCCTTGTAAATCTCACATTTGATGATGGACCACAGGGTCTCAACGGGTTCAGATCAGGTGAACAAGGAGGCCATGTCATTAGTTTTTCTTCTTTTATACCCTTTCTTGCCAGCCACGCTGTGGAGTACTTGGACGCGTGTGATGGAGCATTGTCCTGCATGAAAATCATGCTTTTCTTGAAGGATGCAGACTTCTTCCTGTACCACTGCTTGGAGAAGATGTCTTCCAGAAACTGGCAGTAGGACTGGGAGTTGAGCTCGACTCCATCCTCAACCCGAAAAGGCCCCACAAGCTCATCTTTGATGATACCAGCCCAAACCAGTACTCCACCTCCACCTTGCTGGCGTCTGAGTGGGACTGGAGCTCTCTGCCCTTTACCAATCCAGCCACGGGCCCATCAAGACTCACTCTCATTTCATCAGTCCATAAAACCTTAGAAACATCAGTCTTGAGATATTTCTTGGCCCAGTCTTGACGTTTCAGCTTGTGTGTCTTGTTCAGTGGTGGTCGTCTTTCAGCCTTTCTTACCTTGGCCATGTCTCTGAGTATTGCACACCTTTTGCTTTTGGGCACTCCAGTGATGTTGCAGCTCTGAAATATGGCCAAACTGGTGGTAAGTGGCATCTTGGCAGCTGCACGCTTGACTTTTCTCAGTTCATGGGCAGTTATTTTGCACCTAGGTGTGTCCACACGCTTCTTGCGACCCTGTTGACTATTTTGAATGATTGTTCGATGATCACGCTTCAGAAGCTTTGCAATTTTAAGACTGCTACATCCCTCTGCAAGATATCTCACTATTTTTGACTTTTCGGAGCCTGTCAAGTCCTTCTTTTGACCCATTTTGCCAAAGGAAAGGAAGTTGCCTAATAATTATGCACACCTGATATAGGGTGTTGATGTCATTAGACCACACCCCTTCTCATTACAGACATGCACATCACCTAATATGCTTAATTGGTAGTAGGCTTTCGAGCCTACACAGCTTGGAGTAAGACAACATGCATGAAGAGGATGATGTGGACAAAATACTCATTTGCCAAATAGTTCTGCACTCCCTGTACTGTTTATTACTTTATTCTCCACACAGGTGGTGTGACAGTGCTGGGTCAAACACATGCAACAAAATGAAGATTAAAAACCTTTTCATCAAGAATGTGACTTTATTAACTGGAGAGATAAATGATACAATCTTTGTTAAAATCAAAAATATCAGTCAGTAGAAAAATTGTTTCTCTGGCGTCTGTGGTCTTTCTGTGTAAGTGATTTACAGTGACCGAGCCAAGCCTGAGACTTTTGCTCCTATTAAATATTTAAACTTAATGACAAATCACAGCCACTGAAACACGAATCATTTTTATTTGGTCAAAAAACAGCCCCATCCCAAGAGAAGGAGGGTGGTCCCAGGAGTCTGGCAAGAGCGGCGAGGAAGGTCCTCTTTATTCAGGGCAAAATAAGGTGGTCTCCACTCATTATTCATCTTTAGCTACAGGTGGACACCAGAACTGTTCATTACTGGCCGTTTTTAACACTGAGTATCTTCTCCTGTAACAAGAAATCAATAATTATTTAGCTTATGTGTTATATATTTGTTAATATACTCATAATTTTAAAGAATCTTACTTTAATCATGGTTTCCAGCTTGATGGCGTCAGCAGCAAACTTGCGGATGCCATCTGACAATTTCTCCACAGCCATGCGGTCCTCATTGTGCTGCCAGCGGAAATCCTTCTCCTCCAAGTGGATCTTCTCCAGATCACAGGATTTAGCTGTAAACGTTAAAATCTGGTTTGTAACAGAATCCTCTTCTTAAAGTTCAACTTGAACTGTTTGTGCAGGTAAGCAGACCCGAGTCTACTAAACTAAAAGTAACCATACACCTGTTACCAATGGCTATTTATTGGGGGCAGCTAGTATTACATTTTTAATAGATTTTAAAAGTCACCAAGAGTAATATTCAACATAGTGATGAAACAGTAATTAAAAAAAAGATTTACTACTGTACATGTATGTTTAGTTATTATTCTTAGAAGACTGACCCATAAACTAGACACACGTAAGTATACTTTATTGGTCTGTTTACTGAAGAAGTTATAATCGTATCTACAACAATTAAAACTTTAGCCATTCAACAGTTAAATTAAAAGGTGACAAACACTCATTTACATCAATACAGTTTAAGTGGTCTCTAGTAGGGATGTCCCATTCCGATATTGGAAGTAATTTGATATCAGCCCAAAAACACTGTATTGCATTATATCGGTCCGCATCAAAAATCTCTGATATAAGCAGTCCGTTAAGGTTCACATTTTTGCAACCAATGGTTAAAAAAAATAGTCTTTTTTTCCCTCCATACTGTTGCTGGTTCTTGTTCTCTGAATAATATCACTTGAGCAAGACTTTCATACATTCCACACTACAAAATAGGTAAAAGTATGTATGATTTGTGCTGATATCTGTCAATACTGAAGGCTGCAATATCGGTATCATATTGGAAGTGAAAAGGTTGTATCGGGACATTCCTAGTCTCTAGTAGGAATAAATGTCTTGTAAGTTGTTATTTGAGGAAACAAAGTTCTGGTGCACCATTTTCAGGAACTAGAAGTGAACCACATCAGAGCTAAGCTTCAGATGACAGCATTTGGAGTCTTATTTCTTGATATCTGGACATCTCACCTCTGATTGGATAACAACACCACAACTCTACCAACGACTGCTCTGCAACGTTGTTGTTTTATCTCCACAAATAACACAAGCCTGAAGGAATTTAACCGTGTTGTGGAGTTGCTAATGGTTAGCTTCTTCTAGCTGAGATGTTCTCTGCTGTTTCCTGGACGCTAAACCAACAACAGCTTTCCCCATCGTGAGTCAAGATGGGCGAGTCCATGAATGTTAAGTGACAGTATGACATAGATCTGTCAGGTTTTTCAAATCCTAGAGTTTCAACATCTACTTTCTATCAGATGCTAATGCAGGAGATAGGTGTAGGAGACAATTTTCCTGTTCAGCCTGTATGAAAAATTCAAGAGTGACCAATTATTATCAGAAATGATCATTAAAATTTTTTTCCCCAGTGCTCCACACATTTAAACAAAAATTGCATGGTTGGGATGCGTTGTCTTGGAGTTTGTTATACTAATAAACCCATGAGGCGGAGTTAGGATTGCTGAGATTATAGCCATTCAGCAACTGTCTAAATAGTTCCATAGTGGACCTCTATAGCTGGAAACCATGTTTTCCTACTTTAAAGCAGTACCTTTCTCCACACTTAGTAGCTCAGTGACCGAGCTGTGATCCTCGCTAAGCTCTGCCAACAGACCAGGGGAGATTGTGAGCAGGTCACAGCCAGCCAGAGCCTTCACTTCACCCGTGTTTCTGAAGGAGGCCCCCATCACAACAGTGCCATAGCCAAACTTCTTGTAGTAGTTGTAAATCTTGGTCACGCTCACCACACCTTAAGAAAATGGAAATAAAAAATGCCATAATAATGAATCACAAACATCAGTAGCTTAGTGTTAGTCTTCTCCAAGATCTCAAAGTCAAAGTACCCACTTTTAATGAGAGAAGAACCTACCATAGGATGCTTGGAGGTACCCGTTAAATAAAATCTAACTTTTCAACTGGATTAAGTGTTTGTCTACATTTTTGTACATATCTAAACATTAAAATACCATAAAGCAGGTCACCATTGCCAGCTGGAGGGAAAATGCAAAAGCCAAAACAAAAAAGCACCAATTTGCATGTTGAGGCAGAAATAAATCCAAGTACTGATAGGAGTGGCCTCAGTGCATTCCACTGGTTTCATTTGAGTGATGTACTCCTATCTGGGGAACAACAGAACAAGCAGCTGATGAACACAGATGGGTTTTTCTAGCTTTGAACACACCCTGGCACAAATCAATGAAGAGCAGGTTTTCCACACAGCTTCCAGTTTCTCACGTAAACATCATCTGTCAGCTATTGAGTTAAAACTCATCAGGACAGAGAGGTCCTGCTGAGTTTCTATAGCTGCAGCCAGTTCTCAGAAATAACTACAAACTCATCACAACAAATTTGTAAATAATATTCCACCTCAGGTCACATTAGTATTAAGAGGTTTTGTATAATCAATTGATTTTCTACACAGTGTGCCAGTTGATACTGTTGCCATGGCTGCACCTTCACCTTGGACCATAACTTCCATAAAGGTCTATATTTATACTTTAGATGTAAAGGCACTTGAAACATACCAGTGCATATTTTCATAAAGTATGGTACATAAACACGTTTTAGCCGCAAACTCCCTTCGCACCAGGACCGTTTCCGGGGTGAAACGGCAGCAAAAGCGTTCCACTCAGCTGGTCCCGAGGTCAAGAAATCATGGAAAAATTGCAAGGCCATGCGTGATTTAGACAGTTTACGCAATAAAAAGCAAGTAGAAAGACATGTATCCAAAAAAAATCAGTAATTTATTTATTTTTATTTTTTTATTTTGGTTTACTTCAGCTAAAGTTTTCACAGAAAATGACTTTTTACTAATTAAGCAACTGGAAATCTGCACGCGAGTTTCCAGGTGTTTTACACTGCTTCGTGTTTAACTTCCAGTCTGGCCCGGTCTGAACCCGATGTGTTCTGGAACAGCAGCTCGTAAAAAATAGAATCAAAGTGGAAGAGACGCGTACCTACGCTTCTGGGACACGTCTAAAACAAGATGCTTCACGTCCGGTGGACAAACACTCATCCTCTATAATGGCAGCTAATTGCTGTTTGTTTCGGTTTGCAGGCATTGTGCGACACTTAGTCACTAAATATAGTAAAATAGATTTACGCATGAGGTTTATTAGAGGTGCTGAAAAAAAATAATCGATTCAAGCCTGAATCGGGATTCTTATTTATAAAGATTCAGAATCGATTCTAAGAACTCAAATATTTGGCACGTTACAGCTTTGAGATGCACTTTTTTGATCGTTGTTAGGAGAGTCAGTGCTCCGTTCATTTTTGTGGTCCCATAAATTGAGATGATTTATGTTTGAATCTGCTGATAAGAGGGCACTTGAATGTAATTTTTTCCATACTCAGAAATTTGAGATATTCTCATATTTATTTTCTAAGTACCGAGTACTCAGGATTACTCATGTAACTTGTTTCTACACAAACTTGAAAAGTATTTGACCGTATTACTTTCAAAGCTACTGTTAGGTAACTACAGATTTGTTATATTTTACAAGGTAAGCAAAAATAAATGTTGCCTTTTGGTTAAAAGATTGCTTCTGTTTACAGTTTTAGAATCACTTTATTTTACCTTGTAAATTAGCATTTTTGGAGCACGACTAGTTTAAAGTCAAATAAAAATGTCCCATAGCTTTAACTAACTTGTACAAAAAAGTAGTTAGTCCTGGAGCCGACACTCTTTGTTAATACTGGTTGTGAATCGATTTAAATTGAGAATCGAGAATCGATTCTGAATCGAATCGGCACCCCAAGAATCAGCATTGAATCAAATAGTGAGTTGCTCTAAGATTCACATCCCTAATGTTTATGATGGCACCCAAAGTGAAGAGTTCTCAAATTATTTAGAATTGCAACATCACACCCATGGGTAATGCTTGATAGGTCCAGTTTCATTCTACAACAGGACACCAACCCCAACATGGACCCTAACCCACTGCGGCTGAAGCTATGAAACGGTTGTCTGATCCATCATGTGAGAGAAACCGTCATCATTTCCACTCATTTTTAGATTACTAACCCAACAATTCCTGTTCATTTGCTATATTGTCTGTTTGAACAAACTTCACCCATTTCAATGGGAGATAAAAAACTATTTAAGGTGATCTCCAAGTTTTGAGCTGTAGCGTATATCCGACCTGTGGTAAACAAACAATCCCCTGATTACATTTACTAATTTCCTACTATTTTTAAAAACTAGCAAGGTTTGGGTCTCTTGTGCTTGTTGAAACTTTTCTTGCCTGAAACACAGAGACGTTTAGTCACTAGTTAAGGCTGGCTGTTACCTGGATCTTCATGTGGCTCGTAGCTTTTACGGTCTGTGTTCTCCTTGTACCAGTCAAGAATGCGCCCAACAAAAGGGGAAATAAGAGTTACTTTTGCTTCTGCACAAGCTACAGCCTGAGCAAAGGAGAACAGCAGTGTCATGTTGCAGTGAACACCATGTTTCTCCTCAAGCTCCCTGCAGAAAAAACAGACACACAAATTATATGAAATATTAAAAACAGAAAATTTGGTAAAAATTGTTACTGATTTCATCTTCAAAAGAACTAAATAGAGTAAAGTTGTTTTATCAGACTGGCACAAATCAAACAGTGACCGCAGCTTTTATTTTAACACAGTTTACAATCTTTTTGCCAAAAAAAGTAAAAATGTCAATCCTCCTGCTAAATGATCTGATCTGATTGTTCCCAGAAAGGGTGGAGTGACTGAGGCAGCTTTGTGAAGTGTGAACCATGAGTTGCTGTCCACAAATTAGCTATTGGCATCATAAATATCTGGTTTGCAACTCCTCTCCCTCTGGCGATGCGGTCTGAATATTTTTAGGTGCTGTCACAACAAACAACAAAGTAGAAAGTCAATTGTTAAAGAATTTCCTGTCTTTAATAAAAGCTGCAGAGGTCAGCGACAGATCACAACTCTGTGTCAATTTGTGACACCAGGGGCAGAGAGAGCCTCTTATGTGGTTTCAAGAATAAGACCCTGCCTACTCGGCATTCCCTACTCCAGCCTTTGACCAGAAGATGTGATGGGCCGTGCCTTGTTCAGAGGTGTATATGTGAACATATGTGGGCACAACTAGTAAAAACCATATAAATAAGGAGCCTCGTAGCATTATCTGCTGGTCTGCCCAATTTGATGCAAATCTTTTGGGACAAATGATCCCGAGTCTTCCTTAAGACATTATTATTATTATTATTAACAGTTACATAGAAACACAATTTAAAATAGACAAAATGTCCCATTTAAGACTTTTGCAGCACACAGCTGTATGTCCTCTCTGCAAACTCACCTGCCAGCCTGGATCCCCTCCCATGTTGAGGAAAGTTTGATGAGCACACGCTCCTTACTGATGCCCGCCTCCTCGTACAGCGCTATGAGCATCAGGGCTTTTGCCACCATTTCATCTTTATCAAATGACAATCTGCAAGGTGGCAACAAGATGTGGGCATTTAGGTGTTTTGAAAAGATACATTTTCATTTTTCAGTGATAGAATAGAAATATTTTGTTTTTTGAGGATTTCTGGTTTAATAAGGTATTTTAACCAATTATTTGGTTATTAGGCCAGTGGCTCCCCAAGAATAATTTAATAGGGATGACCAGATGGGCCTGAGAAAGTTTTGAGGTGGCACACTTGGTCCTTATGGCAACTCTGGGAGAGTTCAGCCTGTGGTGATGCACTGGATACTCCTTTATTCTTTTTCATGAAATAAATAAATAAATAAATGAATAAAACATGCATCCAACACCTCAAATCTGAGAAAAAAAGATTACAGAGAACTTTCAAACAGTTATTCAAAATGTTGTTGCAAAGTTTATTTTTAGAATTTTAGGAAAGTTTAATTCACCTGTTGCCATTTTCACAACAACTATGGAGATTAAACTTTTGTGTTGAAAATGAGCAACAGCAGAAGCAGCAAATACAGGTGAAACTAAGAAAATAGAATATGGTGCAAAGGTTGGTGCATTTCAGAATCCTACTTAAAAAGGTGGAACTAGCATGAAACTCATAATATGCAAATGTCTACCCCTTGGGGGCGCCACTGCATTAGGCAAACCTCTGAAGCCCAGACTGGTAGACAAGTACCTTTAGCAACTTTTAATTTATGACAGCATTAAATAACAAAAATAAAGTGATAGCATTTGAAAAGCATTCTACTTTAATTTAGTTAAAAGTTGATGTAGATTAGTCTTCTTTTAAGGGAAAATGTTCATTTTGGGATTCATTAATTTTTAGTAATTACATAAAATCATTGTTTTTCTGTATTTTTTAATTAAGAGTAATAGAAGTAAATGGTCAAACTACCAAAAATGATTTTTTTTTTTATCTTGAGTAATGCAACCATAGACCGCTCATCTAGCTCTGCTGTGTTAAAAGTCCAACAGTTTGCACAAACCTGGCATCCACCTCTGTAGACACTCTGCCTGGAACCTTCTTGAGAATCTCGAGTCCAAAACTCACAAACAGCTTGTCCATCGTGTTGGCTACCTGCTCCTCTTCAGTACTTAGTAAAAAAAAAAAAAAAAAAAAAGTTAAATGGTTTAACAGTTCCTCTTTTACCAAATAACTTGCATGCAAACAGGTTTCATTTAAAGTGACACCTAGTGGTTAACACTTTAACCCATTCACTTAGGAGTGGGGTTCAGTGATTGTGTAGTTAGAAACTACCAACTTCACATAGGACAACAATCTGCAGCCCTCTGCTGACCACAAACATCACTTAACAGTTGGTGGAGAGGGTAGGTGCCCTAGGGGGTGCCCTTTACATGCCTAATGGCTGTTAGCCATTTTCTATGCCATTAACCAATTTAAAGGCCAGCATTTAGCTTTTTCTGTTCACAGCAAAAATTATTTAAAAAAAATTAAAATAAAAAGAAGTTTGCTTTCTTGTTGGCTTTATAGCAAAGCCTGGAAGTTAGGTCTTTGAAGGTGAAGCTAAACCATTGGCCTACACTGATTTGGGGAGGGTTAAAAAAACTCATTAATTCGTACCCTCCTTTAGCAATGCCATATTTTATGGCCTGATCCAAAAGGCTCTGGTAAGCAGGCATCTTAGCAGCAGCCAGGATCAGAGATGGATTAGTGGTTGCATCTTGAGGCTTGTACTCATCGATGGCTGCAAGACAAGAAAACAAGAGTAGATCGGTCAGACAACCACAGATCACACTTGTGTTGAAAACCCAACTGAGAAGCTCACCTCTGATCTACCTATAATGTTAATTTGCAAAAGAACACCACCAACATGCCAAACCAAGATCTGCTGTTCTCAAGATGAAAATGGTGCCAATGTGTAAAGGCATTGCTGCACCATTCTCTAAATAACTTCACTATTTTGCCAGCATGCTTTTTCCTCACAGGTTTTCTTTTCCAGCCTTTTCCTGTGAAGATGTCTCAGGCAAGTGTGCGTACACTAGGGTTGTCACAGTAACCGGTGTAGTGGTAAACCCCAGTAAAAAAGTTGACAATAATAATAACCGTCTTGTTTTTTAAAAACTATATCATCTCTGTGGATTACCGTGGCTGCGGTGTAGGCGCGGTGACCCTTACCAGCCACCGTATCATCTGCAGAAGTTGCCGGTGGCACATGTGCACTTTGTTGTTTATGACCAAAACTTTCTTGAAGCTAAAGCTGAAATAATGGCCAAAGGAGGAGACGGCAGTGCTCAGGAGGACATTTTTTATCCCTCAAAGAAGACAAAGTGGGAAGTACGGGCATTTTTTTGGATATTTGAAGAGTGCCGAGGGACAGCTGATAGAAGACGACTATCCTGTTTGCAGCACGTGCAGAAAAAGTGTCTGAAGGCAGCAACGCTTCAAATCTCATGACACATCTGCGTGACCATCACCCACAACTCTACAGTCAACGCAAGGCAAGCTAACGTTAGCGCTTTAGCTAAAATGCGTGATCCGAGGATTTGGGTTGAGGGAGAATGCAACGAGTCGCTATATAAAGCAGCCCCAGCGCCACGACCTGCATATAAACCGTGTTGCGGACACCCCCATGTTGAAATGACGCTATGCATTACAGGGCTCCCAGGGGCAGATATGAGTTGGTCGCTCTCCGAGAATAATTATGAATTTAACAATGATTACTGCCTGATGACATTTCCCCACATCTGCAAAGCTCACTGGAACACAAACTGAGGACAATATTTTCCTGATATAGGGTTTATTACTCAAGTAAGGGTAAAAAAGTATCTGATTAGAAGGCTACTTGAGTACTGAGTGTCATCTGATCTAATACTTTTAAAATGATGACATCAAACAGACAAAAAATAAGTTGTGGGCAAATATTGGTATTTTAAAGACTAAAGGGAAAAATGTAAACAAATAAACAACATAATTACAAAAAAAAAAAACAAATTTTAGGCTAAAGTTGGACACAAACTGAGGACAATATTTTCCTGATATACAGGGTTTATTTTTGAAAATGTAACACGTTTAAAACAATACTGCGATAATACCGAAAACCGTGATAATTTTGGTCACAATAACTGTGAGGTTAAATTTTCACACCGTGACAACCCTAGCGTACACACACCCCAGAGAAAGCAAGCACAAACTGTAGAATGGGCAGCCATAATTTAAGTTTGGGAAGTGCTATGGTCATAGCAGCTGACAGCTATGACCATAGGTACTATACTACGGCAAAGCACCGCACAGCCACGTTAGCATAACATGGCGGGGAACAAGTTCAAAGTACACCAAAGACATTCATTAAACATCAAATATGAAAAAAGTTTCAAATATGAACACATTTTTAATTCCTGTACTTATAAACTGGCAAAACAATGCTTCTCAGTTAAGTGTTAACCTATCATAAAACCTTTAACGCAAAAGGAGTTTGTCCGGGCAGTCGGTGGTGTCATAGCAATTCGTAGCTATAGCCATTGGCTGTTCTCGTAGCTAAGAGAGATAGCAGTCACAGCCATTTGTTGCTACAGATGCACCCTTGTGGCTGTGGCTACAATCGGAGCTCAGCCTCCCTCACAAAAACATCCCGCAATGTTTAAGAAGCCCCCAAATTAAGATGGGATTCAACCCTTTGTGCAGGAGGGGATGAACTACTCATCCAGTTTTTCACCTCTTCAGAAAGAAGTAGATTTTCTGTTGATATTTAACAGACAAAGTTTGACCGGCAACCATCTTTTAAAGGACTGAGCCAAAGTAAGCCACGCAAATCTAGAAATAGTTCTCAGAACATAACACAAATTTACTTATTTTGATGAACACTATATGATACAAGCATAAAACTGGAAGAAATGTACAGCAGGTTAAAAACACAAACAAAGCAAAGAGTGATTTTCACTGAGCAGTGGTTTGTGCCAGAACAAGTCCAGTAAATACTGCCAGCTCTTCAGTCTCAGAACAAAGCTGGTCTGTGTTCTGTAGCTCGTTATCATGCCGTCTCCTCATAAGCATCTTTTTGTTGGTAGGTTTGACCAGGATACGCGATTAACACAGAAAACAAAAAGGTACAGTTTTTATTTTTTCATAATCTCTTGAATAAGCAGAATGGGTCTTTTTGCATGTTGTCTCCTGCTTCAATGCTGCTCACGTGTTGTAAGATGAAAAATGTAAAGGTCACAAGAGCCAAAAATGAGCAGTAAATGTGTCTTTACGTGACCATGATATGCTTTCTATAAATCAGAAAAGGAAGATTAAATGGAAATTGTATGTGGTTTTTTTCCTTTTTTTTCCCATATGGTTTGGTGGTTTTTGGTGACTTGTACCATTTTGTTTGTTTTAATGTAGGTTTTGTGTTAGATTTACTAAACAAGTAAAAATTACTTGTATAAAGGGGTATGGACATATAAGTTTCAACTTCAGCCTACTCCCTTTACAAACAGAGAAGAAGGAAAAAAGGGATGATGATATGTATTTTTTCTGTTTGTGGTATTTTTTTTAAACTTATGTTTTCTTTGTTTGAAATAAACTAAACAACTAAAAAAAATCTTGTATTTATTTAAATGTGATGTTTTTACAGCTCTAAATATTAAATATTGCATTTTATTTACAATGAACAAGGTTTCTATTAAAGACTTATTACATTAGTGAGTCTGTAACATAATTACTTGACTGTCCGTCAGCTCCTACACATTAGAAGCATTTTAAGCCAAACACGTGACACAAGAGTGAACCGTTACAACAGGCCACCTCTGATGTTAACATGCCCAAGCTTGCAACAGCTCAACTGAAAAACACTGACATTTTACAACACCCATGTAAAACCTACATTACATAAACATCCATTTTCAAATGCAACACAACAAATCTTGCTAAACGTGTTGCTGCATTTTATCACAAACCTTGTGTTTGTTTTACTGACAGAGGAGCCAGAAATGGCCAAAGGAATCTGTCAGCATTGTGTAAAAGCAACTATGGATGTGAAGATAGTGACCCAGTCAGACAGCCCAAGCTGTTGAGCTGAAACAAAAGTCAAATTTGTTTATTTGTTGTTCTACCGATCATAGGATTGTCCAAGTAGTAAGTTGTTACCAGAGCATAAACAACCCAATGGAAACATAATAAGTTTGAAAAATTGTTGCTCCACTTTACAAATTCTAATTTCAGATAAGGTAAAATCCTGGAAATATCGTTAGTATTTTTCTCCTTCTGACGACAGTAGCAACTGTTTTCAAAAACTTAAAATGAGTATGAAGTCATCAGCCAAGTAGGTGCAATGTAATTCAGTTTTTGTACAAATGTTTTAATTGTTTAACAAACCAAAAATCATAACAGCTGATTGTGTCACTTTGAATTAAATTATTGAGCTTTATGACTCATGTAACATTTTGCAATCCCCTTTAAACTGGCGAGCTTAAACTGTGACTAAAAACAAAACCCAAAAAAAGAAGATTGACATATATAGTTAATAACCCCTTCTATACTACTTTCCAGCTGCAGAAACCATTTCTGTCAAGTCATCCCGAGTCTGCAGGGTGCGCACTCAGGAACAGGCTGATTTGCATCATAGTGTAAAGATGTTACAGCAAACCGTTCCCCATTCTGACCCGCTGTGGCGTGATTACGGACAAACGAGGAAGGAGGAAAAACACCCAAACGGCCTACTGTCGCATGTCAGAGTAAAACATGCAGACTGGAGTTTTACTTCACTTGGAATTTCACCATTAACGTTCATAACAACTGCGGCTGAAGTGCACATGACAAAACGTCACTAACAACAAACGGTTGCAAATTTCATAAGAAATATATTTGCATTGCTTCAATTAACAGTTAGCTGGTGACGCTAGCAAACTGTTAATGACAGGATTATTAGATAGTGACCCATAGTAATAAGTTGGTAAACTTTAAAAACAAACAGAAAAAAGTAAAATTTCCACAGTGAATCTGAAGCTAGCACTCGCCGATATGACGAGAGGCAGCATGGTATTCACACCCACTGCCGTGTGTTGTCATCGACCTGGCGGTCAGTCGCATCAAAATCTGGTCAGGTAGTTAGCATGCTAATGAGCTAACGCTAGCACGCACTGCAGGCGAGTTATTACCGTTAAAGTCTCCCGTGTCTGCCACCACCACGGTGAACTTCTTCAGCTGGTTCAGCGCTGACTCCATCTTCCTGCGTTTGTCTGGTGACCCACAAGACATTGATGAGTGCAGACTGGAACCCTTTTATACACAAAAAACACGTGAGAGCCGACGGAGGGACCGAGAAACGGGACCGTGCGTCACTGCCGGAAGTACTTGACGAGAACGCAAGGAAACCACTTTGAGGGGAAAAACATAATCGTACTACTGTGGGGATCATCCAGAAACTGACACATCTTTTTTGGTGCTGTTCTTTTACACAAAGATTCTGGAAGGAATTTAACAGGTTTGTTACTGTCCATATTTTAAGGGAGTTTTCTTTACGATGGGAAAATGTTTTATTCTGTTTCTTTAAGTTCCCCATGAAGAATGATAAATGTTTTTTATGATAAATCTGTTAACACTCTTAGCTAAATTATTTATTCACAAATGTAAGTTTACCAACAAAACACCATATTTCTGTCATTTTTTAAGGATGTGGAATTGTACATAAAATCAATATCAGAATCCACCAACAAAAAGGCTCGAAACTATATGAGTGTGTGTGTGTGTGTGTGTGTGTGTGTGTGTGTGTGTGTGAATTTTTGCGTGTATTCTTATAATTGTTACTTTTTTCTTTTACCCCTGGCTTTGTGTGTTCATATTCTGTTGTTTTGTATACTTCATTCGTTTCTATGTTGTATACTCATTGTTTGTTAAATAAAGTTTATTAAAAAACATTATATATATATATCGTTGGACATTATATGGACAATCTACAGAGGACAGCCATTGTGATTGATGTAGCAACACGGCAATGGGAAAAAGGAACACGAGAAAATAGAGAAATACCAAGGCTTCAAAGAACTTCAGAGAGCCTGAAGAGTAACAGCGTTTTTCAACATTTTTTGAAAACAGGTAAATAACAAGAAATAACTGAGGAATGTGTGTGAAAATAATCAGTTTTTTAAAATTATGATTTCATATTAGTCTTTCATTTTTAACAACCATTTAACCAGGTGTAGTGTTACCAAATAGCCACAAGATGGCGACATTTATCCAACAAAAGGTCGACGTTCACCTGTATCACCAATTTGACGTTCTAGAAAAATGTAATTAAAGTTTACCTGATCAAGTTTAGTCAAACCCAGTTTTCTCCACTTATCCTGGATTCAGCGTCACAGAGACAAGATTGCACTCCTGTTACCTAACGTAAAAGCCCTTGTTGCCATGGTGATCTGTTGCATGCCAAGTATTTGCACGAAGTTTATCTGTTTTTTTATCTACTTACTTGAACAATTATTTACAAATAGGACGGACATTTCAGTCTCTTGGTGTTTAAAAGTGACATTACCTGCTTTCTGATCAACCTCCCACCCCAGTAATCTGGATAATTGGTTCTAGTTACATCAGACAGGGTGAAGAGGAGGCTCAGCAGCAGTTTGGGAAAAACTTTTGACTTAAAGCTAATGTTCAATGGTTTGGTAAAGGTGACATGCGCTGGCCTGGTGTTCTTCCTTGATTCTACTCTGAGACCTCCACACACGGTCCCCCAGGCCCAGATGTCCTGGTTGGTCACGCTGGAGGAAAGATCTGGGTCTCATTTCTCTGGTGGAGTAGGGTTTATGCACGTCCCACTTCTGCATTATTCTAAACGGGATGCACCACTTCCTTCCAGTCTGCAGTTCAGCTTGAGCTACGATAGTGGTAGCTAACCATGGCATTGTTTTATATACGTTCCCTCCAGGAGCTGCCGAAAATAAAAGTTTCAGATTTCCATGGAATATGCTGAGAGATTTCTAAAACTCCCGCCACAAAAATGGATAAGGGGGTTTGAGCTGTACGCCTCATCCTATATTTGCAACCAAGCCCCCAAAATTCAGGTCTGAAAAAGAAGCCAACACAGAAGTACCAAAAATTGCAGTTCCACCCTCATCCGCTATAGGGGCTGGTGCCAGAAGCGAGCAAATCCTCATTGACTCCCATGTTAAAAATACCAATTTCACAGCAGAAATAAACATGTTTACAGCCTGGTTCCAAAACATGTTTTAGGTTTAATATATCTAGTTTACACTCATGACAACTTTGAGGGGGGTGAATTTTTTGTCACTCTTCTGTTTAAGAGACTTCTCGCGCCAGTTCGTAGAACACTACGCTGAGATAGCGAGACCTCTGACTAACCTACTGAAGAACCATCTGCCTGCAGCATTTTCATTTGCACAGACAAATCTGGAGAAATCAGCTGAGGGCAGGAAGGCTTATTATGATCAGAAGGCCTCACATTCTGAAGTCAACATAGGTGATGAGGCCTGGTTCTACATTTTCGCTCCTAAAACTAGTAACACCAAGAACACCTCTGGGAAGCTGGCTAAGAAACATTTGCCGAAGTGGTCAGGCCCATACCTGATAACTGATAAGCTCTCTCCAGTCGTGTATCAGATCAAGATTACCCAAACAAACAAGGAGCCCGTCTACAAATGGGTCAACAGGGATCAAATCAAACTGCACAAGCGTTCCACTAATTTGGTCAATGCTACCACCAACAACTTACCGACTTCAAAAGGGGGGTGATTTCGCGCCTCGTCGGTTCCGTAGCTCTCTATCTCGAGTTACACAAGTTTGTCTATGTTTGTGTGTGTGCATGGTTGTCTTTCCTGTCTATACATGACGTGCAGACTTGGGTGATTTGAGATGAACATGCTGTGGGCTCCTGAAGTCAGGTAATCAGGTAGTTAACAGTTGATGGTTTTAGTCCACATATTACTGTTATCCAAATTTGTTTTATTTTCACTAATCGTAATTCCTTATGGGTACATTCACATGTAGGTTGATTACTAACTTCGCTGACTTACATTGTTAGTGCTCTTTGCCACTCATATATCTATCTTTTTATAGAACTTTACTATGGTGATTAAGTTTTGAAAACTTTATGATTAACTTTGTTAATTTACCATTATGGACTACAACCAATTTTGCTCTTCATTTTGAAGACATTTTTACTTAGTGCAGTGATTTCTCCCATACGCAGTATAGGGTTTTATTAATTTTATTCTTTTTGCACCACTTTTTCCATTACACGTAGTGTATTGCACCCATTTCTTCACTTAAAATGCTAATTCACATAACTGCCCACACATAGTACATGCAGGTACTCACAGTGCTAGGTTTCTTTTTGTTTGTTAATTTGCATTAGACACCATTTTGTTGTGTCTACGTTGAGGTGCCCTGTGCTGTGCTCTCTCTCCTCTCCTGAGTTTCGCTGATGATCCTCACTTCCTGGGGTGGGCCTATGACTCGTCATGGGATTCTGCTCCTCCTGATGGGTGTTCCGGCTCATAGGACCTGGATGTCCGTTTGTTCCGGCATGGCTGCTGGGATACTTCGCTCACTGGGACCTGACCTGCCTGCTGCTCTTTCCCGCACTGAATCACGATAAGTGCTATTACACAGATCAATATACTATTTTGGAAGTATTCCCTACCCGTGGATATATAAAGTTTTGCTCCTGCTTCAAATTATTATATTACCTCCATGTGGATACCTTAATAATCTGCTGACTTATGTGCTTCCAAAGGGATTAGGCGAGGCTGTTGAAACCATAGACTGTTCTTCGGAGTGGGGTTCGTACCTCCCCACTTTTGGCCTCTTCCTGGGGAACTGCACCTTCCCCTGTCGTCGGAGTCCCTTTAGGACTCTGGTTTGTTTAACGCCAGGTGGTCTCTGTATGAACCACTGTACCATTGAAAAGGGGGGATATGTAACGGAATGAAATGACTGTTCTCCACCAAAAGTCATTTTCCCCCTCTCCTCTGACACAGAACTAGTCTCATCAGATATGGCCTCAAGGTCTCATGCATTTGCTATAAACTGCTTTCTTTCCAGCTCAAGAGAAGAATGAAGAATGGACTCTCTCCTTTTAATAAATCAAAGAACTCTATCTTTTTAATAAAGCTAATCAAACAAAGTGTTAGTCAATAATAAGATGTGACTAATCTGTGAAATCAAAATATTAATTACGTTATTATAATCCTATAGAATATAATAAGTAATATGACTTTAAATGTTTCCACTAGGACTGATTTCATGTAGCGTCAAGAGACAACACATTGCTTTACTGATCCAATCAGAATCTGCCAGATCTGACGGAGGCGTGGCTTTGGTGGTGCAAAACCAAATAAGCTACCCCATAAACCTGTCTGACACTCCCATCTCGATGGTGGACTCACGTCGCTTCCTGGCCACCACCATCACCTAAGACCTCAAGTGAGAGCCCACAATCACCTCCATCATAAAAAGGCCCAGCAGAGGATGAAGTTCCTGAGGCAGTTGAAGAAATTCAACCTACTAGTACAGTTAATGAGGCAGTTCTACACCGCCATCATCGAGTCCATCCTCGCCTCTTCAATAACCGTATAGTATGCTGGAGTGACCACCAGAGACTGCAGCGTGCCGTGCGCTTTGCCGAGGTCATTGGCTGGTTGCAGGTCAGCTGACCCATGTCACCCTGGACACAGTCTTTTATGCTCGCTCCCATCAGGCAGGAGGCTCTGGTCCATTCAGACCAGAACCCAACATTCCCTCCTGATGTGACTTTTTGAGCAATAAAAGATTAAACCAATAAAACAACATTAACATGAAATTAGGACACAACTAACCTGGAATTTGAAACGACCAATTAATCAATCGGATTTTAGTTCAACATTAAACCAGACATCAAACCCAATTTTATCCTGTATTTCTAGCTTTATTAATTTATCCCCCCTGAATGCTACCTTTGAGCAATGATTATCCTGTCAACAAAACCCAGAGCAAGAGTTAAAACCTGCAATTAGGAATGAATAAACTAGACAACAAAAACCTAAATAATAATCTTGAGTTTCTAGCTTTATTAAAGTAACCCATATCATTTGTCATCAAACACTTGTGGATCTTCTCTTCCACGTCCGCCGTTACCTCCTGTTCTGCAATCGATCGCTTGTAGGACTGAACAGGTGTCACAGGTTTTGAGTTTTCTGTGGCTGGCTGACCTGCGGTTCTGGTTCCCTCCTGAAGTTGGTGTTTGACCTCTGCACCTCATCTCCAGTTCAGGTGTGATATCTCGGTCACACTGTGCTCTCAGCTTTGCGTCGTCCCGCTGACGTGTCGACGCAGGACACTTCCTGAGAGAGCTGACTGGCCCACAGCGGGTTTCGTGGTTTTACATCAGCTCACAGGTTGGTACCGGTTTCAGCTAACTGATCCACTGGTTTGTGGTTTAACATTAGCTCAGCCGGTGACGGTGGTTTGTGTCACTTCCGTCTTGGACTGCAAGTCAGCAGTTTAGCCATGTCTTTCGTGCTTCCTCCATCTTGGATTGTAGGTATCCACCACCTTCTGAACACACCTACAAGTCAAAGATCCACAGCAGGATGCCACAGACACAGACCAATTTGCATTCAGTTAGATATGCGTTCAACTTTCACAGCTGCTTGCCCAAAGGAACTCAGATCCTCTGAAGTCTTCTCCTGAGTCTGCCATTCCTGCATTCGGAGAGTATCAGGACATGACATAGCAAACCATCCTGTGTTGCAATCACAATACCTTCCTGGTTGTTGAGGGTCAATGGGGCACAAAGTTTCTTGTGTCCGATCTGTGTCCTTTGATGTTTTCTGCAGGAACCAATGCAGCCAGCCACTGATCTTTATCACCTGTTAATCGTGTTTCCACCATCACATCACAGCAGGACACAAATCAAGGAGTCTCCCAGCCTGTCTTGCCTAGGGAACAATTTGCATTTAGGAAAACAGTGTACCCAAAAGTTGTGCTGCCTAATTGTTTAAATTAATAAACATTGATGTCTGGTTTAGCATGAAACTAGTCAGTTATGGTCTGTCCTAAATTATCACAAACGAAATAAAACACATACAAATTCTTTAAAACTAGCTTGTCTCAAAAGGAGTTAATCAGAGATTCTATCACACTAAGGCGGAGTTAACACACTCACGTCACAGAGGCTTCAAAGAGGTTTTTCACAAAAGGGTGCCACAAGAGACTTCCAGTCTAGCTTGATTTAGCTGCTTAGGAAACATTTGCATTCTAATTTAAATGAAACAGCCCGTCTCCAACTTGTAAGGTAATCAAAACTATCAGTTACACCACCCCTCCTGTGGAGGTAGGCTTCTCACACATTTACAGGATCTAAATTAATCAAAAGGAAGTCACTCAGATTTATTAAACCTTATAACCCAAACAGAAAATAAATGATGGTAATAGCTCAAATGTTGAAATAGTTACAAAACAGCCTTACTGTTGAGTAAAATAAAATACTACGATTAGCATTTATGGTCTGCAGGGGCTGAGTTGATGTTTACATTTCAAACAAGATTTGCATAGGAATAGCATACAGGAAAAATCTAGCACTGTGTTAATTCAATCATGTTATTAAATTAACACCAATTACTTAATCTATCAATGGTCGATAAGACACATTTAACGGGAAGTTTTTAAGGTTCATAAAAGATCTAAACACCCTCCTGTAAAACCAGTCTTATGGCAGGAACACCAAGTTTAACATGATTTAGTCATATGATAAAATGCTGAGATAAAAAACTGTTACTGCATAGTGTAGAATTCTATTTACCTAAGAACATAACCCACTAAAATAAAACTGCATAATCTAAACAATAATACCGAACATGGTAACACTAGCTTACATCTATCAGACTAGAAAATTTAAACAATAGGTCTGAAATATTTAGTTTGGGGCTGTTTCTATATAGTCCAGTAAAGGAACAGCCTACCACTTGTGACATAGAGACCATCTTGAGTCAAAGTTGTATTTTTAATCTTGGTTCATGAGCAAAAGGTATCTTCGGATCCAGAGTAGCTGCTGCACAGCTAATCTGTTTCCGTGTGGCGAAACCAGAGCTATAAGCAAAGAGTCTGTCATTTTAAAATGGCATAAGCTATTTATAAGGTTATGTGCCTCTTAAAACACAAAATCATGAATTTTCCCTTCTAATTCTGTAATTTGGGGTCAGTCAAATCCATCAATAAAAGATTAGGGGAACTACTTAGGTCTAACTACATGATCTTTTAGAAAGAGTATTTATTTATTTTAATAAAATAATAAAAGGCCTGTAGACCAGAATATCTAATTTAACTTGAGGCAATCTCGTGAATCATCTCCATCATATTTGGGCAACCATTCAGCTTGTGAAGCTGAAGGAGTTATAGGATGGATGTATTTATCCCTGCTTAACTGTATTTCCTTAACATTCTATCTACATAAGTCATTTTGTTTACTAGTTTAGTAAAAGTTATCATGCAGATAAGAGCAATGACTTTTTCAGATAGTATTTAGCAAATCATCTCACCTCCTTTCTGTCTGTCACACACTCACACACTCACTCACTTTTTGCTCATTTCTAATTAGAATTTTGACCATAAAGATCTTAGAAATTACATGTAAAATAAAGATTTCAGAACCAACCATTTCTGTCCCTACGTACTATATCTAATCATCACTTCCTCAAACATTTCTTTACAACTTCCTATTGCCTTCTCTCTTTCTCCACCTGTCTCCTCTGCCTCCCTTTCTGCCTTTCTTTCCTCTCCGTCTCACCCGTCCACTATTTCCTTCCTCCATTCACCTATCTTCTAACTTCTCACACTCTTTCCATATCTGATTGCAGCCTTACCAAATCGCCTGCCGCAATAAACTAACACTTCGCTGTCTCTTAACTTCTTACCCTTACTTCCTTTGTTCCTATATCCCATAAACACACACACACACACACACACACACACACACACACACACACACACACACACACACACACACACACACACACACACACACACACACACACACACACACACACACACACACACAGAGACAGACAGACAGACAGACAGACAGAACAGAACTGAACAGATCAGGACCAACACAGAACCCATCTGCAGGTTTCACACACAAGCCTCAGTAACACACATTATCATGCTTTCGGACCTTCCATCCATTCAGAGATCTCGGCACATTCACACACATTCAGGCTTCAGAACTTCGGCCCAAAACGTCTCTCACACACACAGAAACGGACCTGCAGGCTTTCACTCACACACATTCAGAACTTTGACACAACCCCCCAGATCAAACCAGATCCGGTTAGGCCCAAAAACCTTTACTCATACACAGACAGAGCAAAACTCTGTCAGAAATTAACATGCCAGTCCTCAGCGTCAACTTTAAACAATACACAACACGGAAACCGCCACAAAATGGAACGCAGCCCCATGGCACCAGAAAAATCACAACACAGATAACACAGACCAGGAATTTTAGACCGCTTTAAGATCTTTTAAGCCAACCAATAAATTTTGTGTACCTTGTTGCACCATAAAATATTTAAACAATTCCCTGCGGCAGTGTGATTTCAGCATCAAACCACTCCAATCGACACCAGCACTTACATGCTGCGTGTATTAACCATCCGCAGCTGCTTTAATGCAGCGCTGGTTTAGCAACAGTTTTAGGTGCACCTGAACATTCACCTGTGATTACTACCCACAGCTCTGCGGGACGCCCTGTGCACGCAGACACAAGACTTATTAAAATCTCCTCTTCAAGGCAGGAATACAGCCCGGTTCACGTTTCAATGCAACCCCTAGCTGGACACAAAACGTCTTTTTGTGCGTGAATGTCAGTCACCACCATCAATCTTAAATCACACTGCCAACGGTTAAAAACAAAAGGTGCAAATTAATGAAGGTACTCACTCGGCGTGCTATTCAGCTGCCAGACTGCGAAGCGATCTCCCACCGGAACTCTGCTCTCCGGGGCTCACCAGAGCTGATCCATCATCTCCCCTTACCAGAAACAGACTCAGAACAACTTTAGCCAAACAATCTCACACGTCTTTTTCTTTCATCAACCAAACTTTCTCATACACTCAAGAGGTTCACACACACATGGCCGCAACTGGCCCACCTCAATCAACTCAAACCACACTGCCAGTGGTTAAAGAAACAGACGCAAAATGAATTAATGAATTAACTTAATGAATTAACTTACTCCCCTCCGCGTGGTAATTCCGTCCTGGGGTCCGAGCGCGAGAGCCTGTTGATAAAAGTTCGTCTGCAGAGCTATATTTAGCCGGCCGATGAGACAATTTTAGCCCCCCGGACTTTCAAAGAAGAGATGGCGCCGCACGGCTCCCTGGAGACGATCTTCCATCGCTAGGCTCAGCGCTGCCCGCATTCTCCACCACTTGTTAGGTAATTAGATTTTATCCCATATTACCTTAAAGGACGACACACCCTTTGATAGAGAGAGAGAGTAAATTGATTATTTGTAATGTCCATGTGCATGACTCCACCAGCCCCCATGTCCATGTGTGTGGCTCAACCAGCCCCCACTCTGCTCCAGCCTCAGCCTTTACCTCACCAGCTCTGCATACCCGTGGTCTCCATCAGGAGACTAGAATGTTAGGTAACACACCCTGGCACAAATCAATGAAGAGCAGGTTTTCCACACAGCTTCCAGTTTCTCACGTAAACATCATCTGTCAGCTATTGAGTTAAAACTCATCAGGACAGAGAGGTCCTGCTGAGTTTCTATAGCTGCAGCCAGTTCTCAGAAATAACTACAAACTCATCACAACAAATTTGTAAATAATATTCCACCTCAGGTCACATTAGTATTAAGAGGTTTTGTATAATCAATTGATTTTCTACACAGTGTGCCAGTTGATACTGTTGCCATGGCTGCACCTTCACCTTGGACCATAACTTCCATAAAGGTCTATATTTATACTTTAGATGTAAAGGCACTTGAAACATACCAGTGCATATTTTCATAAAGTATGGTACATAAACACGTTTTAGCCGCAAACTCCCTTCGCACCAGGACCGTTTCCGGGGTGAAACGGCAGCAAAAGCGTTCCACTCAGCTGGTCCCGAGGTCAAGAAATCATGGAAAAATTGCAAGGCCATGCGTGATTTAGACAGTTTACGCAATAAAAAGCAAGTAGAAAGACATGTATCCAAAAAAAATCAGTAATTTATTTATTTTTATTTTTTTATTTTGGTTTACTTCAGCTAAAGTTTTCACAGAAAATGACTTTTTACTAATTAAGCAACTGGAAATCTGCACGCGAGTTTCCAGGTGTTTTACACTGCTTCGTGTTTAACTTCCAGTCTGGCCCGGTCTGAACCCGATGTGTTCTGGAACAGCAGCTCGTAAAAAATAGAATCAAAGTGGAAGAGACGCGTACCTACGCTTCTGGGACACGTCTAAAACAAGATGCTTCACGTCCGGTGGACAAACACTCATCCTCTATAATGGCAGCTAATTGCTGTTTGTTTCGGTTTGCAGGCATTGTGCGACACTTAGTCACTAAATATAGTAAAATAGATTTACGCATGAGGTTTATTAGAGGTGCTGAAAAAAAATAATCGATTCAAGCCTGAATCGGGATTCTTATTTATAAAGATTCAGAATCGATTCTAAGAACTCAAATATTTGGCACGTTACAGCTTTGAGATGCACTTTTTTGATCGTTGTTAGGAGAGTCAGTGCTCCGTTCATTTTTGTGGTCCCATAAATTGAGATGATTTATGTTTGAATCTGCTGATAAGAGGGCACTTGAATGTAATTTTTTCCATACTCAGAAATTTGAGATATTCTCATATTTATTTTCTAAGTACCGAGTACTCAGGATTACTCATGTAACTTGTTTCTACACAAACTTGAAAAGTATTTGACCGTATTACTTTCAAAGCTACTGTTAGGTAACTACAGATTTGTTATATTTTACAAGGTAAGCAAAAATAAATGTTGCCTTTTGGTTAAAAGATTGCTTCTGTTTACAGTTTTAGAATCACTTTATTTTACCTTGTAAATTAGCATTTTTGGAGCACGACTAGTTTAAAGTCAAATAAAAATGTCCCATAGCTTTAACTAACTTGTACAAAAAAGTAGTTAGTCCTGGAGCCGACACTCTTTGTTAATACTGGTTGTGAATCGATTTAAATTGAGAATCGAGAATCGATTCTGAATCGAATCGGCACCCCAAGAATCAGCATTGAATCAAATAGTGAGTTGCTCTAAGATTCACATCCCTAATGTTTATGATGGCACCCAAAGTGAAGAGTTCTCAAATTATTTAGAATTGCAACATCACACCCATGGGTAATGCTTGATAGGTCCAGTTTCATTCTACAACAGGACACCAACCCCAACATGGACCCTAACCCACTGCGGCTGAAGCTATGAAACGGTTGTCTGATCCATCATGTGAGAGAAACCGTCATCATTTCCACTCATTTTTAGATTACTAACCCAACAATTCCTGTTCATTTGCTATATTGTCTGTTTGAACAAACTTCACCCATTTCAATGGGAGATAAAAAACTATTTAAGGTGATCTCCAAGTTTTGAGCTGTAGCGTATATCCGACCTGTGGTAAACAAACAATCCCCTGATTACATTTACTAATTTCCTACTATTTTTAAAAACTAGCAAGGTTTGGGTCTCTTGTGCTTGTTGAAACTTTTCTTGCCTGAAACACAGAGACGTTTAGTCACTAGTTAAGGCTGGCTGTTACCTGGATCTTCATGTGGCTCGTAGCTTTTACGGTCTGTGTTCTCCTTGTACCAGTCAAGAATGCGCCCAACAAAAGGGGAAATAAGAGTTACTTTTGCTTCTGCACAAGCTACAGCCTGAGCAAAGGAGAACAGCAGTGTCATGTTGCAGTGAACACCATGTTTCTCCTCAAGCTCCCTGCAGAAAAAACAGACACACAAATTATATGAAATATTAAAAACAGAAAATTTGGTAAAAATTGTTACTGATTTCATCTTCAAAAGAACTAAATAGAGTAAAGTTGTTTTATCAGACTGGCACAAATCAAACAGTGACCGCAGCTTTTATTTTAACACAGTTTACAATCTTTTTGCCAAAAAAAGTAAAAATGTCAATCCTCCTGCTAAATGATCTGATCTGATTGTTCCCAGAAAGGGTGGAGTGACTGAGGCAGCTTTGTGAAGTGTGAACCATGAGTTGCTGTCCACAAATTAGCTATTGGCATCATAAATATCTGGTTTGCAACTCCTCTCCCTCTGGCGATGCGGTCTGAATATTTTTAGGTGCTGTCACAACAAACAACAAAGTAGAAAGTCAATTGTTAAAGAATTTCCTGTCTTTAATAAAAGCTGCAGAGGTCAGCGACAGATCACAACTCTGTGTCAATTTGTGACACCAGGGGCAGAGAGAGCCTCTTATGTGGTTTCAAGAATAAGACCCTGCCTACTCGGCATTCCCTACTCCAGCCTTTGACCAGAAGATGTGATGGGCCGTGCCTTGTTCAGAGGTGTATATGTGAACATATGTGGGCACAACTAGTAAAAACCATATAAATAAGGAGCCTCGTAGCATTATCTGCTGGTCTGCCCAATTTGATGCAAATCTTTTGGGACAAATGATCCCGAGTCTTCCTTAAGACATTATTATTATTATTATTAACAGTTACATAGAAACACAATTTAAAATAGACAAAATGTCCCATTTAAGACTTTTGCAGCACACAGCTGTATGTCCTCTCTGCAAACTCACCTGCCAGCCTGGATCCCCTCCCATGTTGAGGAAAGTTTGATGAGCACACGCTCCTTACTGATGCCCGCCTCCTCGTACAGCGCTATGAGCATCAGGGCTTTTGCCACCATTTCATCTTTATCAAATGACAATCTGCAAGGTGGCAACAAGATGTGGGCATTTAGGTGTTTTGAAAAGATACATTTTCATTTTTCAGTGATAGAATAGAAATATTTTGTTTTTTGAGGATTTCTGGTTTAATAAGGTATTTTAACCAATTATTTGGTTATTAGGCCAGTGGCTCCCCAAGAATAATTTAATAGGGATGACCAGATGGGCCTGAGAAAGTTTTGAGGTGGCACACTTGGTCCTTATGGCAACTCTGGGAGAGTTCAGCCTGTGGTGATGCACTGGATACTCCTTTATTCTTTTTCATGAAATAAATAAATAAATAAATGAATAAAACATGCATCCAACACCTCAAATCTGAGAAAAAAAGATTACAGAGAACTTTCAAACAGTTATTCAAAATGTTGTTGCAAAGTTTATTTTTAGAATTTTAGGAAAGTTTAATTCACCTGTTGCCATTTTCACAACAACTATGGAGATTAAACTTTTGTGTTGAAAATGAGCAACAGCAGAAGCAGCAAATACAGGTGAAACTAAGAAAATAGAATATGGTGCAAAGGTTGGTGCATTTCAGAATCCTACTTAAAAAGGTGGAACTAGCATGAAACTCATAATATGCAAATGTCTACCCCTTGGGGGCGCCACTGCATTAGGCAAACCTCTGAAGCCCAGACTGGTAGACAAGTACCTTTAGCAACTTTTAATTTATGACAGCATTAAATAACAAAAATAAAGTGATAGCATTTGAAAAGCATTCTACTTTAATTTAGTTAAAAGTTGATGTAGATTAGTCTTCTTTTAAGGGAAAATGTTCATTTTGGGATTCATTAATTTTTAGTAATTACATAAAATCATTGTTTTTCTGTATTTTTTAATTAAGAGTAATAGAAGTAAATGGTCAAACTACCAAAAATGATTTTTTTTTTTATCTTGAGTAATGCAACCATAGACCGCTCATCTAGCTCTGCTGTGTTAAAAGTCCAACAGTTTGCACAAACCTGGCATCCACCTCTGTAGACACTCTGCCTGGAACCTTCTTGAGAATCTCGAGTCCAAAACTCACAAACAGCTTGTCCATCGTGTTGGCTACCTGCTCCTCTTCAGTACTTAGTAAAAAAAAAAAAAAAAAAAAAGTTAAATGGTTTAACAGTTCCTCTTTTACCAAATAACTTGCATGCAAACAGGTTTCATTTAAAGTGACACCTAGTGGTTAACACTTTAACCCATTCACTTAGGAGTGGGGTTCAGTGATTGTGTAGTTAGAAACTACCAACTTCACATAGGACAACAATCTGCAGCCCTCTGCTGACCACAAACATCACTTAACAGTTGGTGGAGAGGGTAGGTGCCCTAGGGGGTGCCCTTTACATGCCTAATGGCTGTTAGCCATTTTCTATGCCATTAACCAATTTAAAGGCCAGCATTTAGCTTTTTCTGTTCACAGCAAAAATTATTTAAAAAAAATTAAAATAAAAAGAAGTTTGCTTTCTTGTTGGCTTTATAGCAAAGCCTGGAAGTTAGGTCTTTGAAGGTGAAGCTAAACCATTGGCCTACACTGATTTGGGGAGGGTTAAAAAAACTCATTAATTCGTACCCTCCTTTAGCAATGCCATATTTTATGGCCTGATCCAAAAGGCTCTGGTAAGCAGGCATCTTAGCAGCAGCCAGGATCAGAGATGGATTAGTGGTTGCATCTTGAGGCTTGTACTCATCGATGGCTGCAAGACAAGAAAACAAGAGTAGATCGGTCAGACAACCACAGATCACACTTGTGTTGAAAACCCAACTGAGAAGCTCACCTCTGATCTACCTATAATGTTAATTTGCAAAAGAACACCACCAACATGCCAAACCAAGATCTGCTGTTCTCAAGATGAAAATGGTGCCAATGTGTAAAGGCATTGCTGCACCATTCTCTAAATAACTTCACTATTTTGCCAGCATGCTTTTTCCTCACAGGTTTTCTTTTCCAGCCTTTTCCTGTGAAGATGTCTCAGGCAAGTGTGCGTACACTAGGGTTGTCACAGTAACCGGTGTAGTGGTAAACCCCAGTAAAAAAGTTGACAATAATAATAACCGTCTTGTTTTTTAAAAACTATATCATCTCTGTGGATTACCGTGGCTGCGGTGTAGGCGCGGTGACCCTTACCAGCCACCGTATCATCTGCAGAAGTTGCCGGTGGCACATGTGCACTTTGTTGTTTATGACCAAAACTTTCTTGAAGCTAAAGCTGAAATAATGGCCAAAGGAGGAGACGGCAGTGCTCAGGAGGACATTTTTTATCCCTCAAAGAAGACAAAGTGGGAAGTACGGGCATTTTTTTGGATATTTGAAGAGTGCCGAGGGACAGCTGATAGAAGACGACTATCCTGTTTGCAGCACGTGCAGAAAAAGTGTCTGAAGGCAGCAACGCTTCAAATCTCATGACACATCTGCGTGACCATCACCCACAACTCTACAGTCAACGCAAGGCAAGCTAACGTTAGCGCTTTAGCTAAAATGCGTGATCCGAGGATTTGGGTTGAGGGAGAATGCAACGAGTCGCTATATAAAGCAGCCCCAGCGCCACGACCTGCATATAAACCGTGTTGCGGACACCCCCATGTTGAAATGACGCTATGCATTACAGGGCTCCCAGGGGCAGATATGAGTTGGTCGCTCTCCGAGAATAATTATGAATTTAACAATGATTACTGCCTGATGACATTTCCCCACATCTGCAAAGCTCACTGGAACACAAACTGAGGACAATATTTTCCTGATATAGGGTTTATTACTCAAGTAAGGGTAAAAAAGTATCTGATTAGAAGGCTACTTGAGTACTGAGTGTCATCTGATCTAATACTTTTAAAATGATGACATCAAACAGACAAAAAATAAGTTGTGGGCAAATATTGGTATTTTAAAGACTAAAGGGAAAAATGTAAACAAATAAACAACATAATTACAAAAAAAAAAAACAAATTTTAGGCTAAAGTTGGACACAAACTGAGGACAATATTTTCCTGATATACAGGGTTTATTTTTGAAAATGTAACACGTTTAAAACAATACTGCGATAATACCGAAAACCGTGATAATTTTGGTCACAATAACTGTGAGGTTAAATTTTCACACCGTGACAACCCTAGCGTACACACACCCCAGAGAAAGCAAGCACAAACTGTAGAATGGGCAGCCATAATTTAAGTTTGGGAAGTGCTATGGTCATAGCAGCTGACAGCTATGACCATAGGTACTATACTACGGCAAAGCACCGCACAGCCACGTTAGCATAACATGGCGGGGAACAAGTTCAAAGTACACCAAAGACATTCATTAAACATCAAATATGAAAAAAGTTTCAAATATGAACACATTTTTAATTCCTGTACTTATAAACTGGCAAAACAATGCTTCTCAGTTAAGTGTTAACCTATCATAAAACCTTTAACGCAAAAGGAGTTTGTCCGGGCAGTCGGTGGTGTCATAGCAATTCGTAGCTATAGCCATTGGCTGTTCTCGTAGCTAAGAGAGATAGCAGTCACAGCCATTTGTTGCTACAGATGCACCCTTGTGGCTGTGGCTACAATCGGAGCTCAGCCTCCCTCACAAAAACATCCCGCAATGTTTAAGAAGCCCCCAAATTAAGATGGGATTCAACCCTTTGTGCAGGAGGGGATGAACTACTCATCCAGTTTTTCACCTCTTCAGAAAGAAGTAGATTTTCTGTTGATATTTAACAGACAAAGTTTGACCGGCAACCATCTTTTAAAGGACTGAGCCAAAGTAAGCCACGCAAATCTAGAAATAGTTCTCAGAACATAACACAAATTTACTTATTTTGATGAACACTATATGATACAAGCATAAAACTGGAAGAAATGTACAGCAGGTTAAAAACACAAACAAAGCAAAGAGTGATTTTCACTGAGCAGTGGTTTGTGCCAGAACAAGTCCAGTAAATACTGCCAGCTCTTCAGTCTCAGAACAAAGCTGGTCTGTGTTCTGTAGCTCGTTATCATGCCGTCTCCTCATAAGCATCTTTTTGTTGGTAGGTTTGACCAGGATACGCGATTAACACAGAAAACAAAAAGGTACAGTTTTTATTTTTTCATAATCTCTTGAATAAGCAGAATGGGTCTTTTTGCATGTTGTCTCCTGCTTCAATGCTGCTCACGTGTTGTAAGATGAAAAATGTAAAGGTCACAAGAGCCAAAAATGAGCAGTAAATGTGTCTTTACGTGACCATGATATGCTTTCTATAAATCAGAAAAGGAAGATTAAATGGAAATTGTATGTGGTTTTTTTCCTTTTTTTTCCCATATGGTTTGGTGGTTTTTGGTGACTTGTACCATTTTGTTTGTTTTAATGTAGGTTTTGTGTTAGATTTACTAAACAAGTAAAAATTACTTGTATAAAGGGGTATGGACATATAAGTTTCAACTTCAGCCTACTCCCTTTACAAACAGAGAAGAAGGAAAAAAGGGATGATGATATGTATTTTTTCTGTTTGTGGTATTTTTTTTAAACTTATGTTTTCTTTGTTTGAAATAAACTAAACAACTAAAAAAAATCTTGTATTTATTTAAATGTGATGTTTTTACAGCTCTAAATATTAAATATTGCATTTTATTTACAATGAACAAGGTTTCTATTAAAGACTTATTACATTAGTGAGTCTGTAACATAATTACTTGACTGTCCGTCAGCTCCTACACATTAGAAGCATTTTAAGCCAAACACGTGACACAAGAGTGAACCGTTACAACAGGCCACCTCTGATGTTAACATGCCCAAGCTTGCAACAGCTCAACTGAAAAACACTGACATTTTACAACACCCATGTAAAACCTACATTACATAAACATCCATTTTCAAATGCAACACAACAAATCTTGCTAAACGTGTTGCTGCATTTTATCACAAACCTTGTGTTTGTTTTACTGACAGAGGAGCCAGAAATGGCCAAAGGAATCTGTCAGCATTGTGTAAAAGCAACTATGGATGTGAAGATAGTGACCCAGTCAGACAGCCCAAGCTGTTGAGCTGAAACAAAAGTCAAATTTGTTTATTTGTTGTTCTACCGATCATAGGATTGTCCAAGTAGTAAGTTGTTACCAGAGCATAAACAACCCAATGGAAACATAATAAGTTTGAAAAATTGTTGCTCCACTTTACAAATTCTAATTTCAGATAAGGTAAAATCCTGGAAATATCGTTAGTATTTTTCTCCTTCTGACGACAGTAGCAACTGTTTTCAAAAACTTAAAATGAGTATGAAGTCATCAGCCAAGTAGGTGCAATGTAATTCAGTTTTTGTACAAATGTTTTAATTGTTTAACAAACCAAAAATCATAACAGCTGATTGTGTCACTTTGAATTAAATTATTGAGCTTTATGACTCATGTAACATTTTGCAATCCCCTTTAAACTGGCGAGCTTAAACTGTGACTAAAAACAAAACCCAAAAAAAGAAGATTGACATATATAGTTAATAACCCCTTCTATACTACTTTCCAGCTGCAGAAACCATTTCTGTCAAGTCATCCCGAGTCTGCAGGGTGCGCACTCAGGAACAGGCTGATTTGCATCATAGTGTAAAGATGTTACAGCAAACCGTTCCCCATTCTGACCCGCTGTGGCGTGATTACGGACAAACGAGGAAGGAGGAAAAACACCCAAACGGCCTACTGTCGCATGTCAGAGTAAAACATGCAGACTGGAGTTTTACTTCACTTGGAATTTCACCATTAACGTTCATAACAACTGCGGCTGAAGTGCACATGACAAAACGTCACTAACAACAAACGGTTGCAAATTTCATAAGAAATATATTTGCATTGCTTCAATTAACAGTTAGCTGGTGACGCTAGCAAACTGTTAATGACAGGATTATTAGATAGTGACCCATAGTAATAAGTTGGTAAACTTTAAAAACAAACAGAAAAAAGTAAAATTTCCACAGTGAATCTGAAGCTAGCACTCGCCGATATGACGAGAGGCAGCATGGTATTCACACCCACTGCCGTGTGTTGTCATCGACCTGGCGGTCAGTCGCATCAAAATCTGGTCAGGTAGTTAGCATGCTAATGAGCTAACGCTAGCACGCACTGCAGGCGAGTTATTACCGTTAAAGTCTCCCGTGTCTGCCACCACCACGGTGAACTTCTTCAGCTGGTTCAGCGCTGACTCCATCTTCCTGCGTTTGTCTGGTGACCCACAAGACATTGATGAGTGCAGACTGGAACCCTTTTATACACAAAAAACACGTGAGAGCCGACGGAGGGACCGAGAAACGGGACCGTGCGTCACTGCCGGAAGTACTTGACGAGAACGCAAGGAAACCACTTTGAGGGGAAAAACATAATCGTACTACTGTGGGGATCATCCAGAAACTGACACATCTTTTTTGGTGCTGTTCTTTTACACAAAGATTCTGGAAGGAATTTAACAGGTTTGTTACTGTCCATATTTTAAGGGAGTTTTCTTTACGATGGGAAAATGTTTTATTCTGTTTCTTTAAGTTCCCCATGAAGAATGATAAATGTTTTTTATGATAAATCTGTTAACACTCTTAGCTAAATTATTTATTCACAAATGTAAGTTTACCAACAAAACACCATATTTCTGTCATTTTTTAAGGATGTGGAATTGTACATAAAATCAATATCAGAATCCACCAACAAAAAGGCTCGAAACTATATGAGTGTGTGTGTGTGTGTGTGTGTGTGTGTGTGTGTGTGTGAATTTTTGCGTGTATTCTTATAATTGTTACTTTTTTCTTTTACCCCTGGCTTTGTGTGTTCATATTCTGTTGTTTTGTATACTTCATTCGTTTCTATGTTGTATACTCATTGTTTGTTAAATAAAGTTTATTAAAAAACATTATATATATATATCGTTGGACATTATATGGACAATCTACAGAGGACAGCCATTGTGATTGATGTAGCAACACGGCAATGGGAAAAAGGAACACGAGAAAATAGAGAAATACCAAGGCTTCAAAGAACTTCAGAGAGCCTGAAGAGTAACAGCGTTTTTCAACATTTTTTGAAAACAGGTAAATAACAAGAAATAACTGAGGAATGTGTGAAAATAATCAGTTTTTTAAAATTATGATTTCATATTAGTCTTTCATTTTTAACAACCATTTAACCAGGTGTAGTGTTACCAAATAGCCACAAGATGGCGACATTTATCCAACAAAAGGTCGACGTTCACCTGTATCACCAATTTGACGTTCTAGAAAAATGTAATTAAAGTTTACCTGATCAAGTTTAGTCAAACCCAGTTTTCTCCACTTATCCTGGATTCAGCGTCACAGAGACAAGATTGCACTCCTGTTACCTAACGTAAAAGCCCTTGTTGCCATGGTGATCTGTTGCATGCCAAGTATTTGCACGAAGTTTATCTGTTTTTTTATCTACTTACTTGAACAATTATTTACAAATAGGACGGACATTTCAGTCTCTTGGTGTTTAAAAGTGACATTACCTGCTTTCTGATCAACCTCCCACCCCAGTAATCTGGATAATTGGTTCTAGTTACATCAGACAGGGTGAAGAGGAGGCTCAGCAGCAGTTTGGGAAAAACTTTTGACTTAAAGCTAATGTTCAATGGTTTGGTAAAGGTGACATGCGCTGGCCTGGTGTTCTTCCTTGATTCTACTCTGAGACCTCCACACACGGTCCCCCAGGCCCAGATGTCCTGGTTGGTCACGCTGGAGGAAAGATCTGGGTCTCATTTCTCTGGTGGAGTAGGGTTTATGCACGTCCCACTTCTGCATTATTCTAAACGGGATGCACCACTTCCTTCCAGTCTGCAGTTCAGCTTGAGCTACGATAGTGGTAGCTAACCATGGCATTGTTTTATATACGTTCCCTCCAGGAGCTGCCGAAAATAAAAGTTTCAGATTTCCATGGAATATGCTGAGAGATTTCTAAAACTCCCGCCACAAAAATGGATAAGGGGGTTTGAGCTGTACGCCTCATCCTATATTTGCAACCAAGCCCCCAAAATTCAGGTCTGAAAAAGAAGCCAACACAGAAGTACCAAAAATTGCAGTTCCACCCTCATCCGCTATAGGGGCTGGTGCCAGAAGCGAGCAAATCCTCATTGACTCCCATGTTAAAAATACCAATTTCACAGCAGAAATAAACATGTTTACAGCCTGGTTCCAAAACATGTTTTAGGTTTAATATATCTAGTTTACACTCATGACAACTTTGAGGGGGGTGAATTTTTTGTCACTCTTCTGTTTAAGAGACTTCTCGCGCCAGTTCGTAGAACACTACGCTGAGATAGCGAGACCTCTGACTAACCTACTGAAGAACCATCTGCCTGCAGCATTTTCATTTGCACAGACAAATCTGGAGAAATCAGCTGAGGGCAGGAAGGCTTATTATGATCAGAAGGCCTCACATTCTGAAGTCAACATAGGTGATGAGGCCTGGTTCTACATTTTCGCTCCTAAAACTAGTAACACCAAGAACACCTCTGGGAAGCTGGCTAAGAAACATTTGCCGAAGTGGTCAGGCCCATACCTGATAACTGATAAGCTCTCTCCAGTCGTGTATCAGATCAAGATTACCCAAACAAACAAGGAGCCCGTCTACAAATGGGTCAACAGGGATCAAATCAAACTGCACAAGCGTTCCACTAATTTGGTCAATGCTACCACCAACAACTTACCGACTTCAAAAGGGGGGTGATTTCGCGCCTCGTCGGTTCCGTAGCTCTCTATCTCGAGTTACACAAGTTTGTCTATGTTTGTGTGTGTGCATGGTTGTCTTTCCTGTCTATACATGACGTGCAGACTTGGGTGATTTGAGATGAACATGCTGTGGGCTCCTGAAGTCAGGTAATCAGGTAGTTAACAGTTGATGGTTTTAGTCCACATATTACTGTTATCCAAATTTGTTTTATTTTCACTAATCGTAATTCCTTATGGGTACATTCACATGTAGGTTGATTACTAACTTCGCTGACTTACATTGTTAGTGCTCTTTGCCACTCATATATCTATCTTTTTATAGAACTTTACTATGGTGATTAAGTTTTGAAAACTTTATGATTAACTTTGTTAATTTACCATTATGGACTACAACCAATTTTGCTCTTCATTTTGAAGACATTTTTACTTAGTGCAGTGATTTCTCCCATACGCAGTATAGGGTTTTATTAATTTTATTCTTTTTGCACCACTTTTTCCATTACACGTAGTGTATTGCACCCATTTCTTCACTTAAAATGCTAATTCACATAACTGCCCACACATAGTACATGCAGGTACTCACAGTGCTAGGTTTCTTTTTGTTTGTTAATTTGCATTAGACACCATTTTGTTGTGTCTACGTTGAGGTGCCCTGTGCTGTGCTCTCTCTCCTCTCCTGAGTTTCGCTGATGATCCTCACTTCCTGGGGTGGGCCTATGACTCGTCATGGGATTCTGCTCCTCCTGATGGGTGTTCCGGCTCATAGGACCTGGATGTCCGTTTGTTCCGGCATGGCTGCTGGGATACTTCGCTCACTGGGACCTGACCTGCCTGCTGCTCTTTCCCGCACTGAATCACGATAAGTGCTATTACACAGATCAATATACTATTTTGGAAGTATTCCCTACCCGTGGATATATAAAGTTTTGCTCCTGCTTCAAATTATTATATTACCTCCATGTGGATACCTTAATAATCTGCTGACTTATGTGCTTCCAAAGGGATTAGGCGAGGCTGTTGAAACCATAGACTGTTCTTCGGAGTGGGGTTCGTACCTCCCCACTTTTGGCCTCTTCCTGGGGAACTGCACCTTCCCCTGTCGTCGGAGTCCCTTTAGGACTCTGGTTTGTTTAACGCCAGGTGGTCTCTGTATGAACCACTGTACCATTGAAAAGGGGGGATATGTAACGGAATGAAATGACTGTTCTCCACCAAAAGTCATTTTCCCCCTCTCCTCTGACACAGAACTAGTCTCATCAGATATGGCCTCAAGGTCTCATGCATTTGCTATAAACTGCTTTCTTTCCAGCTCAAGAGAAGAATGAAGAATGGACTCTCTCCTTTTAATAAATCAAAGAACTCTATCTTTTTAATAAAGCTAATCAAACAAAGTGTTAGTCAATAATAAGATGTGACTAATCTGTGAAATCAAAATATTAATTACGTTATTATAATCCTATAGAATATAATAAGTAATATGACTTTAAATGTTTCCACTAGGACTGATTTCATGTAGCGTCAAGAGACAACACATTGCTTTACTGATCCAATCAGAATCTGCCAGATCTGACGGAGGCGTGGCTTTGGTGGTGCAAAACCAAATAAGCTACCCCATAAACCTGTCTGACACTCCCATCTCGATGGTGGACTCACGTCGCTTCCTGGCCACCACCATCACCTAAGACCTCAAGTGAGAGCCCACAATCACCTCCATCATAAAAAGGCCCAGCAGAGGATGAAGTTCCTGAGGCAGTTGAAGAAATTCAACCTACTAGTACAGTTAATGAGGCAGTTCTACACCGCCATCATCGAGTCCATCCTCGCCTCTTCAATAACCGTATAGTATGCTGGAGTGACCACCAGAGACTGCAGCGTGCCGTGCGCTTTGCCGAGGTCATTGGCTGGTTGCAGGTCAGCTGACCCATGTCACCCTGGACACAGTCTTTTATGCTCGCTCCCATCAGGCAGGAGGCTCTGGTCCATTCAGACCAGAACCCAACATTCCCTCCTGATGTGACTTTTTGAGCAATAAAAGATTAAACCAATAAAACAACATTAACATGAAATTAGGACACAACTAACCTGGAATTTGAAACGACCAATTAATCAATCGGATTTTAGTTCAACATTAAACCAGACATCAAACCCAATTTTATCCTGTATTTCTAGCTTTATTAATTTATCCCCCCTGAATGCTACCTTTGAGCAATGATTATCCTGTCAACAAAACCCAGAGCAAGAGTTAAAACCTGCAATTAGGAATGAATAAACTAGACAACAAAAACCTAAATAATAATCTTGAGTTTCTAGCTTTATTAAAGTAACCCATATCATTTGTCATCAAACACTTGTGGATCTTCTCTTCCACGTCCGCCGTTACCTCCTGTTCTGCAATCGATCGCTTGTAGGACTGAACAGGTGTCACAGGTTTTGAGTTTTCTGTGGCTGGCTGACCTGCGGTTCTGGTTCCCTCCTGAAGTTGGTGTTTGACCTCTGCACCTCATCTCCAGTTCAGGTGTGATATCTCGGTCACACTGTGCTCTCAGCTTTGCGTCGTCCCGCTGACGTGTCGACGCAGGACACTTCCTGAGAGAGCTGACTGGCCCACAGCGGGTTTCGTGGTTTTAC